GCTAGGTGTCACATATTCGATATTTAAAGACTGACATGTAAGATTGGTCGAATATTAGTTTTTTTTGCTCTTCTCTAACACATCTTGCTAATGGTTACTTTTATCATGAATGCTTCCTTTGAAAAGTTACTCTGACATATGCTACATTTCCTTACATTTAAGTTAACTGTGTACCGCCTCATCTCCCGTTTCCATTTAATCCCAAGGACTGAATCGTTTAAAAATTCAAACTGTAGGTCATTTTTTGTATATATCCTACATATTCTTGATTCTTTCACGTGTCAAATAGTGCATGGCTATTATAGACCAGTTTAAAACTATTGAAAAGCTGTCTACGTAGTTCTAGCTGCTCATTATTTAGAAAGATCATAGTTACAAATATAAATCCGCTTAGAAAATGCTTTAAATTAAACTCTTATACAAATAAGTAATTAATATGATGGCAAAAGTTTGCTACCTTTTCGATATTGAAGCGAAAACTGGCGTGCTTCCTGAATAATCAAAAAGAATTGTTCAGTTTATAGGCAACTTAAAGAGAACAAATCACTGCATAGCGAGAATGGTATGTTCGTCGAATAATTAATTTATGCAAGTCAATACGATGAATCGTTGTCATCACATGTGTTTCAACGTCTGTCATGAATATGGGTCTACTCGAACATCATAGCTTACTCGTTGGTTGAAACGACATGCGATTAATCAGTGAAAACACCAAACTATCCGTTTTCTGTACAACATCTTCTGACTGTGGTTGCTGTCCACTTCGATTTAAACATACGATTGGCTAATGCTCTCAACTTAAACTCAATAAAGATACTAGGCTCAGCGAAACATCTTTGAGATTTCCATGTGTAACCAACCATGATACATATTCCAACTGCTGGGCAGCTTGTATTCCAGAAGATGTCGACTAGTTTTTGCGAACTATAAATCCCATGACTTACTGAAGTTGAGAGTAATCTTTCGTTAAAACATTTCATTGGCGTCTACGTTGTATACAGTCCCTATAAAGGACAGCTGGTTATAGGCTAATGGCATGAAAGCAACATAACTATTACAACAAACTGTGGACACCAATTTGGATTTGTTATTCTGAGCTCTTATAAGTGATACGGTTTCCAACAACCATACACAACCCAGTGGCATGTTTTAACGATTCCACAAACAGTTGAAAGCCTCTACTTCAGCTTTTAATACCTCACAATGGACAGAGTGTCAGACGTCCTCGAAATTCATGACATAACACTTCGGTTTCCCGTTGAATTCTATAGTCCATGTGTGTTACTTAACATGGACCTGCCCTTATATTTTGGCCGGCTCGCAAACACCGTGTGTTTCGTTAAATCTACTCTAATCTGACCCCATTCAACAGACATATTTGTCCGATACACCTTGTAGTGCTGCAGATCGGAGTGTAATTTTCACTTCACTATAAGTTATCCCAAATCACCAGATTAAAAAAAGTAAAAGTTTAACCTTGAAATAAAGTCCCCAGTGAAAATCATGCTTTTTTATGCATTATTCACGCAATAAATGAACCGAACATCGGGAGGAAAATACATTACAAATTTATGGACACGTATCCAGCCGCCTAACTAGTCATTCTAGAGATTATAAATTCCTCGAAGAGAGTTATTCATAAATATCATTAAAACTACCTCATTATCTATATTCTGCTAAAATCTCAGGTAGATCTTGGGATGTAAACCAGTTAGCTTCTTGAAATAGCTTTTTTCAATGAATCGTAACTATTCGACAAACAGAAGCCTGGATTCCCGTGTGGTGGTCAATAGGACTGACTGATCATCAAATTTTTGTCGGGAACTGAAATTTCGATGTAATAATAGATGCTTGATGAAGTGGCTATTGGACTAACTTATAAAGAAATCACATGTCGTCAGATTTCAGTCTGGTTTATGATTTTGGTTTACAATGACAAATTGAGTATCACAAGGACTTATCCTTGGACCGAATAATTGATACCGACATTCATGTGCTATGGTGATGATTCTGATAATCTACAAAAAACAACAACTTCCAATTGAAAATGGTTACTAAAATAATATAATTATTGAGCAATAAGCCAGCAATGATTGAATCGACATCAAAAAATCAACAAAAAGCCGATAACGAATGAGACATAACAACCACAATGGCTTACGAAAATGGCTGGACTCAAAATTCCATCATCAAAATAATCAAAGATGGCAATTATAAAACTCAGGGGAGCATAACTTATTATTAATCAGCGTCCTAACCTCCCAAACGCCGCTATATTCAAATAATCTTAAGATTTGTAAATGGTTCAGGATCCATTAGATATCTCAACTATTCAAGAAGACTTTGGTACTATGAATAATTGAATTACCAGAAGTTTTCCCCTTCCTAACCTCTGTAAATACTGAATAAAAGTTGTGAATAGCAATGACACATTCACTTCGTATTTCCTAAGTGATGAAAGTCTGACTTCAGAAAAGGCATTTCACGTCACTGTATGCAATATACATGTTAATTTCCACTGTTTTTCCGTACCCAATAAAACACACTCCATCTTGAGGTTTCCGTTCGAAACTTTAAGTAGCATGGCTCTACTAATGTTTCGAAGCCTTTCAGTGTTCACTTAAGGCTACATCTGTAAGAAATCTTACCTCATGTTCCCTAACATTAAAAAATCTCTCTCTCTCTTCGGCTTAGTAAAAATGACAGTTCTTTTTGGAATCCCTCTCTTATTTTGAAGTAAGTATCCGGATCTAGTGAAATGCAAGTGTTTTCAGATATACAATCTGATTTGTGTTCATCTACAGACGTATCAGTTGACATGGACATGTTTTTTAAACGATGAACTTGCAGAAAAAGTCCCATTCATCAAAGATCTATTTGACTTACCCGTAAAAAAAGTTTCATCGCTAAACCCCATATCTTCTCTGAATATTATTTCCACCCATAGTTAGATAAGATTGACTTTCTTAAAAGACCAAAATATAGTCTTTTAATATCTGTCCTTTGAACCACGAATTCGAAATCCATGTCGTGGGTTCGTAGATCGGTTTTGTAGTATATTGTGAAACTAACATGAAATTGAAAATGTACCCTTTCTAGTTTTTATCAGTTGTACAAATTAGGTTCCTTTTCAATGAGAACATTCCTTAAAACTTAAATAAAGCAATAACAATAAGTGACAATGAATAATATGAATTTAATTTTACTTAGTAGGTTCTCGTCAAATGCTTACAAGAGTATTCATATCGAAACATAACATATTATTAAATAGTATATACATTTCCCGGTCACTAATACTAAGTATATACTATTAGGTTAGTTTCCAGTATTGTTACATTTGTAAGTAGCTGAGAAGAACTCACGAAATAAAAATGGATTTGCACTAATTTGTGTCAGTTGTTAGTATTGCCTTATTTAAATTCACTAAGGAAACTCTAATAGTAGGGGATTCTTTTAATTATAATAATTCTGATAAACTTATATAACATTTGTACGATATGTCAAACTGTATACGAATAAAAAGAAACGACTTTTTATCGTATCAACAATTTATTGAAACAATGAAATTTGTATCGTTTGAATCTGTAAATGTAAGAGAATTATTCATGAAGTGTATTAACTTTCCAGTCAGAATTTCCATCTTCTATGTATAGAAAAGGCATAAGAGTGTTTTAGTTAGAATTTGATTATTTAAGGAATTGGTTACTAGTTATTTAAACCTGGAGGTTATAATTCTCTTCTCCATAAAACAGTCTCACTCTAATTGTGTCGATGATTGGTTATAAAATCAGTTAACGCTTTATTTGGGTTTGAGCCAATAAAAAATTAAACACCATTAGGATGTCTTTTCTGATTGGTTGAAAATGTTAATGTTAGAACTGAAAAGTTTGTTATGTCATTAGCCAATTAGATCAATAAAGTATGTTGTGTGAGCCATTTAAATGGATCAAATGACGTTGAATGTAATAAATGTTCATTGTTACAGATCGCTAGCTGTTTACATTTCAAGGTAATTTTTAAGAATTATTTACTAGTTTTTTTTTCTTGTCGAAATAATACAATTGCTAATGTATCATGTTAATTATTTGTTGGATTTAGCTTCTTAATCAAAAGTACTTAAAGAAAATTACAGAGTTACTCAGTAAAATCGGAAAACCATATCGTAAATTGTTAATTTGAAAAAAAATATCAGTTCATCATATCGAACTGGATTGTTTGTTCCTGTTGCAAAACATCAATCCATTGTCACTATTCATGCGTTTCATACAAATTCCATTGTGTTCTAACTATTCCTTTCTTGATCTTCCCCCATCTTCTGCTGCCAGACATTACGTTGACACTCACGTCATATACTACTTATAAGTAGCTCGCACCACATTACAATTTAAAAATATGGGGAAATAATTATCAGTCAGTTGAGGATAGAAGATCAATCAAGGAAGAATATTAGCTTTAGAAATATTATTTGTATCAGGACAAATAATTCACTATTCCTGAGTATTTATATTTAAAAAATATACGACAGTTGAACAACTGTTGTACTCATAAATTTAGACTTTTCGAAAATCCAGTGTATGCCTATCTATTGTGGTAATGAAAAAAGTTCATATGATTTTATATTATTCTAAATCTAGTTATCAGTATTATTCATCAACGAATGTTGACTTTCATATAACCGAATATTAAATGTCGTTTTATTCACTTAATAATGTACAGCTTAGTTTGAAATCAATTGAATATTACTAATAAAGTAATATTTTACAACTTTATAACATTTTCATGTACTTGTTCATTTGAAAATGTGACACTAAAATAAGCGGGTCGTTAGAAAAAATTTTAGTAATTATTTTGTTAGAAGTATAATTTCTTATTTCATCATCGTCCAAATGAAATTATTTAAAAATAAAAAAAATGCATGTCACCATTTGAATTTCAATTTTTTTCGCTAAACATTTTGCTTGTATTTTATACTCTTATTTCTTTACAGTTAAACAAATAGAATGTCAATTTTAATTCAAGAAAATGATGATGATTATTTCACCAATGAACTTCCAATAAAACGTACAAAATATTTCTTTGAAACATCGACAACAACTAATGAAGAGACATTTAATCAGAATACAATTTGTAATTCATTCATTCAAAAGAATGGCACAAAATTACATTCAACCACTATTTTATCATCATGTTCAAATATATCACCATATTTAGATGTAAATGATAAATCAATTAACAATATGAATATATCACAATATAGTAAGTGAATCGGTTACTGATGGATTAAAGTTTTTAATGATATTATTATTATTATCACTGTTAAAATATTCACTTCTGCTGTAAAACTACCTCCAAATATCTAACGCGTTTCTTCCTGGTAAACGTTAAAGTTGTTCTAGACAATACACACCTATCATTCTGACAATGGTTAAACTGCGGAATTTCATGAATTGGAAAAAAACCAAAACACCATAAGCCATTTAATAGGGATTTAATTATTATTGTCGATTGGTACTGAATACTACTTAAAAAGTTATATTGTTCTTAACAAACACTTTTATTAAATTATTAATCGTAATAATACATATGCTTACTTAACCTTGTTGTCCTTAGAGAGATGGAAATCGCCTACCTAAGATCTTCAGCTAGCTTTATCCTAAGCTTTTCTTTCTAGTTTTTGCCAAGCTCTGTTCATAGCCTCTTGATATCTTAATTAATTTTTGCATAATGATAACAACGTTTATTTAGTTGGATATTGGTCAGGCTTGATTACATTCTATCATTATTTGAATATATATATGTGGCAGATTAGTTTCCTTTGATTGGACTTCATAAATGATTTCATTGATTTTTTCACCCTTTCAGTTTGCTTTCTTTAAACACCATTCCTCGGATCTGCTTTGTTATTCTAATATTTATTTCCTCAATATATATATATATATATATATATATATATAAAATGTCGTCAAGCTGTTATTGTTCTTATTACTAGTAGTACACCCATTATTTCACAATCATTTCGCAATTTTCCTATGTTACAATTAGATATGTAATCTCTTTTCATTGTTGCCGCTCATGCATAAATGGTCTTGGTTAGTTTTGTGTATTTAATGAATATTTAAGTGAAGCCTGATGAAAGTCTAAATAAAAACACTATTGTTCGTTCAAATGTGTATTATTATTGATGATTTCATTTAAGAGTTCGTACGTAGCAATCAACTTAACGCGTACGCGGTATTTACCATCAATCGGTACAATACATACATTATAATTCAATGATCCAAAGTCTGTATGTTTTAATTTGTTATTCATGAAATCAATTGAAACAAGTGACTGAATTTGAAATCTAGTATTTATTTATGTGTACAGGATGATGAACAGTGGATTTTTATGAATTTAATTGTATTAAAGCTTTTACAACAAATTCAGTTTATAATTTGTAGGGTTTCATTAATACGTATTTTATATAAGTAGTTTGTATTCATACTGCTAATTTATAATCTCATATATACAAAAAGGTGTCTATCTGCTCTGATTGGTTTAGTGAAGGTATAAAACAGCCAGTGTATGAAGCAACAGCTTGGAATATCATTATGAACATTGTAAAATAGAATATACATTAAGATTATTCTAAATAGAACGAAATGCAATATCTCCTAAATTCCACTTCAAATTATAATCTAAATTTACCAATGAAAAGAATGTTTGGTTCTAAATTCAATGAATTCTTGTTTGAGTTTACTTTTTAATAATTCTTTTTTTTGTATCAATGAGAATTAGTTCCCTGTGATTTTTAAAATTTACATGTTTATTCTGATTATGTAAGTTTGAGTTGATTGATTGAAAAAAAAACACATTAAAAATGAACATTGAATGAACTGAGTTAATAATACAAAATCTATTTTCATAACATTACGCTTTAATTGTGTGATGATCATGTAAATATTTCCTTAATTCTTATCATACTCACTTCATACAGCTGATCATATATATATATATATATATATATATATATATATATATATATATATATATATATATATATATATATATACAATCTTACAGTTGCATCATGGCAGTCAGTATACAGGAACCTTCAAATTTAAGTCTTATGACGTTTGACACTGCTTGGTAAAGCATATAGTTCAACAAAGTTACCATGAAGTTATTTATTCATTGTTGAGCATAGGTTAACATCAAGAACTGCAGTATATTTATTTTACGTCTCCGATTGTTACACAAAGTAAAATTGCATTACGGGGTTGTGAAGATTGTTAAGTGACACAGTTGAAACCATGAATCGATCAATGTTAGACCACTATTAGAAACCTGGAAGCATCGGACGGCTAGGTGCAGAAGTTGTGAATGTGCACTGCTGATGAGTCTCATGACAGGACGAAACGGCCATTCAGTGATCCCAGGTTTTGAATGATGGTCTAACATTGATCGATTCATGATTGCAAATGTGTAACATAAAGGATTGTAAAGCTCATATCTCACAAAGAATTGAGGTTATTAAACATTTCAAAAGATTATGAAATTTGATGTAGAAACAGAGAAAAAGTATTGTTTGTTTTTTTCTATTAACCTTGTTCTGAATGGAAATCGACAGTAAAGAAACTAATTTCGATTCTAGTTTATTCCCAATTTAAAACTAAATACATGTGATATTGTTATTTTGCAAAGCACTTTAGCATTTTCAAATGAACTCATGAAATCTATCCTTGATTTGAATAATTCTTTATTAGTAAAAAGAAACAATTGAATGATACCAATGATACACATTGTACTAATGAGTTCGTTTGATTTTCAATGAGCAACTGGTTAGAGAAAATGAAACCAGCGTCGAGTAAATAAAGAATGATAATAGTTTAGTGAAGTTTATTTTAACCTGAAAATATCCCCGTTTAAATTTCTTTAGTTTATGATAAGTTCATAGATTTCATGGAAGTTGAACAACAGAAAACCATAAATCAGCCTAATATAAATCAAGTTGTTTTAATAGGTGATTGTGAGTTTTATTTAAACCTTATTCACGGCCATCCGTTGCATACGTACACACACACACACACAAATATGTATACAACCAAATCTAATAGCGATTCTCTTAGTTTATTTCCTAATGATTTCCCTTGTTAGGGAACACATTATTCTCACCTTCCATCTCTCAATTTGTGATTTCATGACCAATTAGAAGAAGTAGAAGAAGGAGTGAAAATACTAAAAATACAAGAAAAATAAATGAAAAGACCTTGTCAACAACAACAACAAATAGATTCATTTATTAATGCATTAGTTACTGTGATCATTAAAAGTAAAAAATTGTTTTCACCTAAAAAGAATTTATAACATGTCACTTTTCCGTGTTCTGTATGATTTAATTCAAACATTAAATTATTCTACTGTTTCTTTTGCAGTCAACACTGGAATGACATAATATTCCAAATGTTTTAATAATTTACAGTATTCAATCATAAACTTAACTAAGTTTGACAACTATTAGAAATTAGGCAGCACTGGGAAGTCGTTTTTTATTCAAATATGAGACTTGTCGACAGCGCATATTCACTGCTTTGCCGAAGAGTGAGCTGAGAACCGTTGCTAGATTATCTTCATATCATGGAGTCGACATAGGGTGGTTTAAATTTTTAACTTCGACTAAAATACCACTGATGAATATGTCTTGCTTTTTCATGTTAAGTCGTCGAGAGTAGTGACTACCTGTCAGCTTAATCGACGGAATATAGTCAGTACTAATGATCAGACAAATGTAACACTTTTCAGAATCTAACGATTAATGTGGGGGCATCCAAGTCAGTGAATGCAAAAATTAATCAAGGTTATATTAACTGAATACTTTCTTCCTATATATGAATATAGCGGGAAATCATTGATAAGCAGATTATTCCTAGTGAATAAAGTAAAATACAGAAGTTTTGAGACAAGACTACAATTTATGAACTAACCTATCTAATTTAACATTGTGGCTGTTAAATGTTTACATAGCATTTTGACATGATAGTTTATGTTAGCCGGTGGTGAAAACTGTTACCCTAATTATTTATCCTAGCTTCAAACTTTAATTCCTAATCCTAACTGCTCACACCAATCTATGAATCTGTTTTGGCCGTAGTAAGTTGTTGAGCTTTTTCAAAGCCAAACCGTCATCCATAAATCATGTATGTATAAAAGGGACTAATTATGTCATATCCACATAAGTGTCAACGCATCTAATGAGTAACCAGTGAATACTAGTTTTCTGATGCATTTTATTTTAATTATCTGGGTTCTTGTTATAACTGGGTAGTCAACTATGTTATAACCGCATCACAACTGTTGCATCTGGATCGCAAAATGTTATAGCTGGAAAACAGGTCGCTCTGCTGAGTCCATAGTTTTACTGATTTTACTTGACAACTACAAACCACTGTACTTCCTCGACTACTGCTTTTACTTTGACATGGGAATCAATAAAATTCCCACAATGCAGTGAGAACACGAAAGACTGATGTCATGAAGATCTGTTAACCTCCACAAAATCACATCTTTCCACAATCACAACATTCGTCGTTAAAATTCAATCATATAAATATCGATTTTTACACACATTTGTAGGGCGAAATACATCAAGTTAATTATAAAAACATACTCTCACTCAATTCAGTTCACTTGAATTGATAAAGGGAATATAATTGTTACACTGAGCAAAAGTTCACACATGTTATTCTAACAGCGATTCTTAATGAAATGATACAAAAAATATTGAAAGAATCAGTTTCTGTCAGCTGCTTACAACCTGTACTATTGTTGAGGATGTTAGATCCCCAAAACTCGCTTGATAAATGCCTTATTTTGGATTTCACGTTTGCGAGCATGGGCTGATCAGTTGACCTTGAGATTTAATTTCCCACCAGGAAAATCCATGGCTGTGATTGGCTTCTGTGTATTTTAGTGTGCTATTTTCGTAACTGTCCCAATGACGTTTCTATGATGTATAAAAAAACGAAAGTTGTGATTGCTGGGTGTTTGTAGAATATACTTTCTACGCTTACAAAGTCTTCTATCTTCAGCTTGGGATTTAAGGTAGTCTATCTGGACGCTGGTAAAAGTCTCGTTCGCGTTTATCGACTAAGGTGAACTCGTAATAGCTTCAAGCGTACCTAGTGACGAACCTTAAAACTATTCAATAAAGAATAATGATAAAATGGTCTGAATTTAGTTTGGCAGTGTTTTGAACACACATCAATGATATTAAAAATTATTCTTATGTGGAAAAACATATAGCATCAATGTTGGCCACAGAAAAAAACACACCAGAGAATTGACTAGGTGACTGATAAACAGTCAAACTCTGGTGTACGGAAGTCTGTGGAAGCTGTTTCTGTCAGAAACTTGGTTTATGCAATGATAACTTGAACATTTGTTTGTTATACTATGAAAGATTTTGTTTAAATTCTTTTTTCAATTCATTATAGAACTGAGTTGTTGTTTTACTCTATCCTGGATCAATAAGCTTTTGTTTTAATTAGCTGACCATTCCTATTACTATGAATATGTATATATATATATTCATAAACTTTTTGGTTATAGATTATGCGAATGAATTGTCACTTGCAAAACCGCATCTATCCTCGCCAAATATTCAATCATTACCGTTACATAACACTCTTGATTCGTATTCTTCATTTGCTTTGAATAATCCGCCTCAATCACAGCATGAATTCGAACAACACAAACACTATGCACATTTAAACCAATTAGACAATCTATCGAATGACATGTCACATTCAACCAATGATCATCAATTATTGTATGCATTATCACATTCATCTTTATTATTGAATTCAAAACAGAAACATGATTTCAATTATCAGGACATTCCGAATGATTTTCTACAGACAAATAAACTAACTGTGGCAACAAATATATGTTCAGATATTCAACAATTAGTAAGTGGTTCATTCTATTTTAATCTAATGTGAATGTGATTAATGTGAATTTATCTATTGATTAGAATAATTTTATGTAATAGTGTTTATGTCACCATATCACTGTGCAGAATACAATTTGATGGGAAATCAGATGAAAAGCAAATAGTTTAGCGAGAAAAGTTTATAACTATTACTGTAAAGTGACTGTGTTAGAATTATGAAAGAAATTGGTTTTTACGTAATATATATATATATATTCGACAACTATGCTAACTATAAAATGATAAAAACCTTATTTTACTTAATTACTCCGGTTAGTCTTAATGAAGCATGAGGTCACCGATCAGGATTCTCCAACCTACTCTGTCCTGGGACTTGCTTTCCAGTCCTACCCGATTGCTGTTTTTTCTTTTCATATCTGTTTCCAATTCTCGACATGATGTGTGCTTTGGTCTACCTTTTTTTCATTTGGTCTTAAGTATTCCAAATTAGGGCTTGCCTTGTGATGCAGTTGGTTGCTTTACAATCTTGGCGTTTAGGTCTCCCATCAGAATGACCAAATCCTTTGTTGGGCATTTCTCAACGGTTGACTAAATCTTCATTTTACCACACTTATAATACATCAGTTTTGTGATTTTGACAATATTCCCTATTTGTTACTATACAGTTACTCCAGATCAGGTTCAATTCTTAAAAATGCTTCTGGAAATCTGTAAGAAACAAAACCTTCCAACGTCTTTAGCGTTTCTCACGTGTTCACGTAACTCTCCCAGAATTAGTTTTTTTAACAATCATTCGTATAGTGAATCGGAGATTGAGATACACAAAAGATTGAAAACGTTCAATGGTTTTTAAACAGAGGAAGTTAAAGATTGCTCTGTTTTAGTACTATCGATCCTCTGAGTGAAACGCTTTGATGCACATGGAGAGTGTTGTTTTCGGTAGGTGCATCATTCACGTAAATGGTTCTGAACCCTACCGATTCCCTGATAGTTTTACCCTAGTTTCATCACAGATTTTAGTGTCTTAGGTTTGCATGTCTGTACATTAAGTTTTTAAATAAGCTACACTGATAGGAGTCAAAAAGTGGGAGATTCAATTTAAAGGCTTGCTATAAACTAAATTTCAACCATCAAACTACTAATTAGACAGTTAAACATCGCGACAACTTTCATCATGAACTAATATCCATTGGATCATTGCTGAGTATTAAGAAAAGCACTGAATAACAGTTTCGCCGTATACACGCGACTAAACTTGGGATCTAATCAAAGACGTTTGACATTTCTCCGTAAGCACGATATTAATTGACTGCTAAGTTGGAATTAATTGACTGACACTTCCAATCTTAGTCAAAAAGTTTTCAGCTAAAGTTAATCAATCACAAAAGCCATTTATGATACCGGTTGTCCAGTTACGACTGAGAGCACAACAAGATTCGCTAAAGGAATGAAAATTTTTATTCCATTTCAAACCCTTCCTTTAACTATCAGTCAGTCAGGATTTACAATAAGTAAGAGAACTGACATCGAAAGTTTCACTTACTGTACATATTAGAAATATTGAAATAAACATGGCTGCCAATGTGAATAATAATAACAAGGTAGGATACATTTTCTACTGATTCAAACATTTATCCATTTTTTTTTCATGTTTTATGGAGAAATAAGTCAAAGGTTTCATATTTTATAATGAGGTAAACGGTAGATAAACTCTGGAGTTCAAGATCGTCCAGATAATTAAATCTTAAGAATGACGTTTTGTGACGTTTTGAGAATCATTCAGAATTTGAACTATTATTCAATTTATTAACTTCTACAGTTTCTTTTCACAAAGATAAGTATTATCTGAAAATGATTTTAAAAAAATACACTTAGAATAGTTTAAATGCATATTTTCAACATATAACATTTACGAACTATTGACAGAAGTTAGGTTTTACAAGATATACGATTTTACAAGTATAATTTACACTTTTTTCTCGTTGAAATCAACTTGTGAATAGATATTATCATGTGTAAACTTCCATAAATTGAACTGTAGTTCTAAATTGATAGATTGAGATTTTAAATCATTAGTTTGGATGATTCTTGATTAAAGTATATTTATGGAAAAAAACGATAAAACAAACACTGTACAATTGCACTCATATTCATCAATAAGCCTACATTGTTATTGCTAATGATTGAGTAAATAAATAAAATATGTTATTTTCAATTAGAGTTATTGGATTTTTGTGTTTTTACACATTTGAAATCATCAATTAATGATTGTTAGACCACCATTAGAAACCTGAAAGCACTAGACGGCCGTTTCTTTTTGGTATGGGACTCATCGGCAGCGCGGATCCACGACTCCTGAACATGACCGAAGGTCCTGGGTTCGAATCCTGCGAGGTGCATGAGTCGTGGATGCTCACTGCTGTTGAGTCCCATACTAGGACGAAACGGTCAGTCAGTGATTTCAAGGGGTCTAATGGTGGTCTAACAATGATTGGTTGATGATTTCAAATGTGTAAGTAAATATTAGTAATATTCAAAATTTAATGAATGTGTTGGTTATCATGCTTTAAAGCATTTAAACATCTAATCAATGGTATCGTTGCATGTAAATCTATTTGTTTTTATAAAAATCTCTCTTATATTTGCTTAAACAGCTAACAGAACTTATTTACCTTTTAGATATCTAATGAAAATTATATTACTACTGCTGCTACTATGATTACTACTACAACTGTTAGTACTACTAATACTACTACTATTACTACTACTGCCAATGATAATGATAACAATAGCAACAATAACATGAATGAATCCTTAAATAATTCATCGAATCTTGTATCTATAAGTGAAGAGAACAATGTTATTACACCATTAATATTTTGTCAGTACCAGTCATTACTAACAACTACAGCAGTCGATTCTGCGACGACAACAGTGACGACAACTACTCCGACAAACACAACAACAGAACAAACATTTACAACTAAATCAAATGTAACTACAAGAAATGACAATCAAACTGAATTGATGAATTCAAACAGCTGTAATGTGGAATCGATATCGAATTTCACAGAATCTAATGGTAAAATTAATTATTAGTTATTTTCTCAGTAGAATATAATTGTCACAGAATAAATAACCTTGGCAGGTATACTGTTGGAAAAGATTGAACACTGGACGACTGTTCTACGTTAGTATGAGACCTCAGAAGTGACTGATAGTACGTTAGCACTTAGGAAGTGAGATGACTATCATCAGGAGCATTAGATAAGCATAACACCATTTGGTTGAAATTGTATGATTGGACGAGACTACTCAGTGGTCTCAATGAATAAGCACTCAATGAAACACCGGAAGACTCAGGCTCATACTAAAATGAAACAGTTACCCAGTGTTCATTGATTTTATTCGTAATCTAGCTGGTACCAAACAACAACAAACTAAACGTACAAAATGAACTAATCTCCATAAAATCCCTTTAAATAAAATATTTAATTCCTTGTGATTAATGTATTTATAATAAAACGTAATTAATTCTCATATAATATGAATACAATAGTTTACCAAATTATTATTATTGTTATAATTATTACATCGATATAAACAGTTAACAATTAAGAACTGTGATACACAAGTTCAAGACACTGAGTAAACTGTCTCTTTGTATTTTTGTTAATTTAAAATTGAATTCTGAAATTTATTGATGTTATTGTATTGAATTAGACATTAATTAGATTTACCTATTCCCTCATCTCTCTATTATCACTAAAAATTGGGCATATTGAGTTATTTAAAATTACTTGTTGTAGGAAAAATAAGGAATTTTAATTGTTTTTAATTTTCGAAAATTGAAAATTGATCAAATTCTCCAATGGAGATTCTCATCATAACAGGCGCATCTTTGACACATCTAATCAGCTGACTAGGTTAAATCTGTTTCCGAAATACCTTTGATTAACTCTACAGAAAAAACAAAATTAGGATGAAACACAAGTCTAGTGCTTCTTTGGTTTTTGTTAGTTGTTTAACTCAAGTCGAGGCAAATTTTTAAAATGATTGATACTCATAAGGAAAATAAGTGATTGCATAAATAATGAACATAATCAGAAACAACTTAGTAAAACCAATCAGTAGATCAGTGAAAAAGAGAGAACAAAAGATCCCTTAACAAAGTAAAACTTATCATGCATACGGAGAATTTCGAACATCCTAATTCATATTGTATTGAACAAATGAACTTTGGAAAACTGATCATATTATTCTTTCTGTTTTACATTGAGTAAACAAATTTCATGATAGTCATTTTGTTTTCAATAATTAATTTTTAAATTCATATTCTAAATCCTGATTGCTAACAGTTAATCAAAACACTTGGAAATTTACTATTGTTTAGTTGTAAGAATAACGGTATTACTACTTTGCTATAAAAAGATTTTACATGAAAGAATTCTCAGTATCGATTGTGTAGTATTGCACTAGATTTCTAATTAATATAATACATTTAAATAGTAATTAGTAGGAAAGCGTATACGTTAATTGTATATACTATTATTATTATTATTATTATTATTATTATTATTATTACAAACTGTGACTGCAGCCAATACTTTCCAGTTTATGAATCGATAATCCCGACCTTTTAATTAACAAAACGAACGGCTTTTTTTGAATACCTTATGAAGTCAGTCAGTTACAACGTAGAACTTTGTATGTACGCACATCAGTTCAAGTTGCCATAACACATTAGCGCAGAGAGATGCAATTGTCAATTCAAATCCCATGGTAGTAGAGGTAGTAAAAGTATTAGCAGTAATCGAACAGATTAGGGTTCCACAGTATTATTCAAGAAGGAGAATCTAGTGAAACAAACTTACAAGTAAAACGATAAATGTTATGAAGAATCCAGAGGATTAGGATTTGAAAGAAGCCAAAGAATGGATGCACCTGTGCCATTGCAAACGCTTTTGAGCCATGTCATTCAGGCTTTCTAACCATCGATTACTATCATCTCGCGGACCCCAACCAGGTAGTCGACACCTACCAGCATGACCCAGTCCACTTGTCAGTGACTTTATGGATTTGTGCCATGTTTTGGTTTGGCTGCCCCTAGCTTTCTTCCAACCTATTCCTATATTAATGAAGTAATATATATTGAAATAGTATATCCCGGTAATTTTCACCAGCACATGTTATATGTTCCCAGAATAATTAGTGATAATTACCTCGTTCGCAACTTATTTTTCAAACTGATTTAAAATATATTACCACAGGGGAATTCGTAACTGCTTAGGGTGAAATAACAATCATGAATGCATTATCCATAATTCTAAAACCTTAGAAGGTCAGTATCTTCTTCGAAATTAAACAAGTCATTAATTTTGTTTAATATACAGTGAAGATCATTAGATATTTTTAAAAAACGGAGTTGAATATGAAATTAAATAACTAAGGTTGTTTCAATATAACCAGTTGTCTCTTCCATTTAATGTTCCAACACATCGAATTTAATTGATTTGTGAATAAACTCATTCACAAATGTCTATTTGCTAAATTAAATTCATGACATCTTATAAATTAATGTACATTTTCATGCAACTACCTTCATTTGTTCAGTAGTGCCAGTTGTGTTATTTTATTGTATGAAGGAGTAACAATCTTACTTTAGTTAATTTTATTGATTTATTCACATGTATCTATCTGTCTAATCATAATATTGACGATGTAAAATGACTATATATATATATATGATGGGGTCTGTTAACTGCTCTGTGAAATGTAAATTCCTGCAAGAAATTGCATAACCTTAGACAAAAATATATTAACCATTACAAATTATCTTCAAATTAGAATATGTTTGGCAGCATGGACTGAGTTTAGGTAGAAAATCAGTGAGAATCTGTTTTTCATGACATGGATCTTTTCATTGGCACACAAGAATCAAACTCAATATTGCTAGGTGTTGCAATGATCTGATTACTTTTCCACTGATGAATCCGTATTTATTGATTTACTTTGTTAATGTCAATGAGTTTGTGATATTGTGAAACTATGATCCATTTCATATGTATTGTATGTGTATATGTTTAGGACTGCAGTTAATCACTCTCATTTGGCATATGTGTATCCTGTGCAGATTGCCTCGATAATGACTTTACGTTACAAGCATTATTAGCAGGGGTGGATAGAAACTGCTAGCGATGTAGTTTAAGAAGCGCGTTTCGTCCTCTTTTTGATTCATCAGCTAGATGTACCTCCATCTCAAAATTGATGTTCACTCCGAGACTCGAACCCGGCAGCTTACTCTTCAAACCCCACTACATCATCCATCTCCGCTAATATTATCCATTTCAACTTGGCAATACTTATTTGTCACCCAACATAAGTGAACTGCACTAGTGATAAATATCATGTCAGACTAAGTGTTCGTAATCATCATTCGAAATATGTTATTGTTTTTCTATTTTTAAATATTTTAGAAATTATTCACAATTCACCAAAATGCATTAATAACACATCGAATTCATTGGAAATTCCCACTTTATCATATCATCATCCTATAACAACATGTCATGTTAAATATTCTTATTTTCCATCAATATTCATTAATAACAATAATAATAATAATAATAATCATAGTAATTCATTGCTTGAAGAAAATCAATACACATCTGGTGAGCCATCGTCAACTAGTTTACATGATAAACAGTATTTTCATTCACAACTCCCGCTTAATTATCAACAATTTTACTATTCAAACAATGGCATTCATTTACCATGTCAACAGAATCATGCATATAATGATCATGCAATGCATCAGAACGATTTGATCAATGATTCAATGAATGCATTTCAACAACACCAACCACAACAACAAAATCAAACGAACTCCAGATCTGATCAATACACTAGTAGTGATAGTTATTTACCAGCAGAATTAATCAATTCCATGCGATTACACTCAACCAATGACGCAGCAGTACACCTACAAACTGAACAACAACACCACCAGCAGCATTTGTATTCACAACCGCCACTGCCACCGCCACAACAACAGCAATCAAGTATAAATTATAAAGATTTGGAAAAATCCGACAATAAATTCACACGAATATTTATATGGGATTTAGATGAGACATTGATTATATTTCATACTTTACTTACTGGTTATTATGCGCATCGATATGATAAAGTAAGTTGGATAAGATAAAAAAATTATACGTAATTCTTTGTATGTAGCATTGGTTACAGTGTGTATGCTTGAGTAAATGCTTGGTTTAATTTTCGTGTTCTTGTCAGGAGATCTAATTTTTAAAACGAAATTCTCTAAAAATTTAGGTGATTCACTAAACTCATCTTCTATGTGTATTAAAAATCGAAACAGTTGTGGAACAGGTGAGAAAAAAATGAGACAGTCATAACAACTCAACAAAGTATGATCACGATCTAATTTTTCTTTTTGATTGCAAGCATCGTGATAAAAAAAATCAACATCATTGTGTTACACTACTTAATAAATAACTTATTTTGAATAAAAATATATGAATGTTTTGGGCGCTTTCCTATAGTTGTTATAAGTTAAATATTCAGTGATAACCTTGTATAAGAAGATGTGGGCTTTCATCATTTACTTACTAGTAATTAACTTGACGTCAGAAGCCATGACCAATGCAGTTCACCCGTATCGAGTGTGAAACAAGTTTCACTAATGGAAACAGATGACAGTGGCTTGATATTTTGAATTTGTTTCAGCTAGATTTGTAAACCTTATGGTTCTGGACTCAGTGTTTGGTAGGATCAAGGACGCGCCCTTGGCTGAGAATTCCATATTAAGAAGCCGTGTTTTCTACTGGTTGTCTAACTGAATTCAGTCTGTGATGTGAAACTTAAAATTTAACAGAACTCAACAATATACTGTAAACAAGCATCATTATTGAAACCGATCTCTTATAAATAACAATAAATACGAATCATGTAAAACTATAAACTTTTATTAGTTTCCATTTGGCGCTATTGGTTTATTGATTAGATCATTTAACTTTGAACAAGTAAAAAAAACACCTTTCTCCTTTTAATAAGCTGATTTCGGCGATTTGCACGGTACCATTAATATTATTCACATTAGAAAATAAATTAATTATTCGTTTATTTGTTTTTTTCAATAATTATTTTTTAGGATCCTGCTATAGCGGGTGCTTATGGTTTACGAATGGAAGAATTGATTTACAATTTAGCCGATACATATTTATTTTTCAATGAACTTGAAGTAAGTACACCTCAATATTATAATGTTTAGATTGGATAATTTTTTTTAAGCTTTTACTATGAAAAAATTGAAAATTTAACGGAAAGTGCTAATTAATTCGATTCAAGTGAAGAATATTAAAATTGTTTATTCATAATTAACCTCTGAATAGAGAGGTTTGCAATTGTTGAATGAAGTGTAGAAGTTCTTCATTAGGAAATCTAATATACACGACGGTACACATTTTTTGAAATCATGAGTCGATAGATGTTAGACCACCACTAGAAACCACGAAGCACTGGACGGCCGTTTCGTCCTGGTATGGGACTTTTCAGCAGTGCGCATCCACGACTCCTGAACCCCGCAGGATTCGAACCCAGGACCTTCGGCACCGTGCGCGAACGCCCTAACCGTTAGACCACTGGGCCGGTTTCTAACGGTGTTAATGTCTAACTTGATCAAATTCACGAAGGTGTCAACAAGCTAAAGTGAAATTACATTTTGACACTTGATGATTTGTAATTGTTCTTGCTAATGAATAAAAACCATCCTTTCAAATTCATTTGTTTACTCTTTCATTAAAAAAATCATATGATTTAAAAAAAGAACAAATAAATATTCTGATAATAATAATAATAATAATCAGGTGACATTCATTTCAGAAATATGATGAAAAAAAAACTGATCAGTAAATAAAGTGTGGTAATTTGAAAAAAACTAAGGTTGGTCTTAATGAAGCACCACTGTAGTGAAGGAGAACACAGGTGAGGGCAACCGAATTGTATTTAACGAAAATTACAGAGTTACTCAGTAAAATAGGAAAACCATATCGCAAACGGTTAATTTGCAAATCTTCAATCCATCATCAATCGATTGTCTGACATTTCACTATTCATGCGTTTCATACAAATTCCATTGTGTTCCAACTCTTCTTTTCTTGATCTTTCCCCATCTTCTGCTGCCAGACATTATGTTTACACTCGCGCACCACACTACATGTCATTGTGTTGATACATTTTTTGGATCATGTTGTTGTTAACATTCCAAAACTGAATACAGACAGGTCTGAGATGATAATAAATCATGTATGAGACGAAGCATGCTCTCGCTGCTGACCGTTAATTTACATATATTCTGTGAAACTTGTTCAACAATTGACTACATAGAGGTGTTGCGTGTGAAACTCATTTATCACAATAGTGATTGAACAAACTAATTCAGGTCTGAAAATTAACAATCCGGTAATTTTTTAAATTTTAATTCGAATGATATCAGCGTTATAGCTATTGAACAAGTTTGTCATGATTTCTGATTCAGTAGACGAAGTGTTGGCGTTTAAAACGAACGGTCAATAGATTAGAGTCATATTGTAAAATTCAACAATTAGACGAAATATATATACGTTTTTTTTATTCCACTATTAGCTATAATCCATCTGTTTTGAAGTGTCATCATTAATTTGTTTTACTGAATAGTTCTGTTTTGAATCGTCTGTTACAGGCTGTGAATATTCATGATATTATAAATGTTATGTGTTGACAAGTGAAAAATAAAGTTAGGTAAAAATAACAAGCACTTTATAATGATCTACTCTAATTGTTTGATGTGATTTATTATAACTTCACAAATCTAATAAACATTAAAGTAGAACAGGGAACTAAAACTGATTATTATTTTCTAAAGCGATTTGACACCTCAACACAGTACCTTCTGATGTTTATCAGTTTAAAACACAAGAATGTTTATTAAATAGTTTATGGTATCAACTACTCTAAGAACTACTTTTAATGTAGGATATTTTTACACAAACAAGAAACATTGAGTATGTGTAACTAGATTGGCAGTTCAATGCTCTGTAGCTGAGAAAATGATCTAGTTGAAAAGAAAATTTCCCTTGCCAAGTTCTCTTTACTTTAATTAAGTCGACTAATTAAGAGAGAACAGAAAACCATGAGGAGTTATTTATATTATCATAGCTATTTGTGGGGACCTTTAACTTTTCACGCTCCATATAGCAGACTGATATGACGTAGTTGGTCATTAAACAAGGAAAAGCACTAGACATTTGTTTCATCCGAGTATGGAGCTCCTCAGTAATGCGCAGCTAATACCCCATCAGAGGCGTCGAACCTGGAACTTTTGATCTCAGGCGCAAATGCTAATCCTTTAAACCATTAGATAGGAACCCAATGGTAAACATATTTAATTCTCAATCATTTTACGACCATCCTTTACTGCATGCAGTAAGAATTTTCACCAGAACTTCAGGCGATTCCATCTAACAGTTAGTCAGTCACTGGTGAGCATAAAAATATTATTCAGGTTAAGCTATCTATGATGGAGTTTCGTTCTCTGAGTTGGATGTTATGGTTGTGGAGATTTCATTGTTCTTCTGAACGATATCATCAGTACAACAAACTTCTATTTGAAGTTTGAAGAACATCCACCACCATCCACCTGAGCTGGAAACTTCTCTCTCTCTCTGTCTCTCATTGCTTGTTTGATTATCATTTATCCTGTAAGGGTGTATACAAAGTTATTATAAGTTAATCGGATTAACTGTAGATTTTCATAAAATAAACATTTAAAATATTATAATATAATTTGTTAACTATAAGAGGAATTTAGCTAAAAATAAAATCACATTCATCATCATAAATTGTTCTAAAATATTTATATAGAATCGGTGAAGCTAATTATATTTTCACACTAAAAATTTATACTAATCTTGTGATTTGTAAACATTTGAAAATATCCTAAAAACTAATGTGCGAAATGTGGTCCACCATATCAATAACGAGGAAATCCAGATCATCACAAATAGCTTCATATACACATTGAACAAGTTACTTACTTACACCTGTTGTCTTTGATGGAGTATAGGCTGCTGATCAGGATTATCCAACCTACTCTGTCTTGGGCTCTCACTTTCAGTCGTTTCCAATAGATATCCATTCTTTTCATATCTGTCCACAATTCTGTTCTTTGGTCAGGCACTTTTCCTTTGGTCTTGAAGATTGAAAGTGAGGGCTTGTCTTGTGATGTGGTTATCAGCTATCTACCTAGGTAAGATTGACATAATCTGAACAGTCGAATCCCTTCAATTGAGAGTAAATCTTGTTACAGTGCTAATGAACTCAATCATAGAAGTACTACTCAGTAAAATTTAACTTTGTCCTGTTTAAGTGAAACATCAAAGGAAACATACATTTATAGTATATCAGCTTTAATATACATATTTGTTAGAATTACTTTTCAAAGGAACACTTCATCGATTTCCACTTACCATGACAATCGCATTCTCACCATCAACTTATCCTGACCTGCATTCTTAGTGTCCACTTACAAAGCCATACTGAAATCATGAATCAATGAATGTCAAACCACCATTGAAAACCTGGAATGCCTTTTCTTCCTGTTGTCGGACTCATCAACAATGCACATCCACTACTACGCAAGCAGAAATCGAACTCAGGGCCTGCTGATGAGTCCCATACTAGGACGAAACGGATGTCCAGTGCTTTCGGGTCCCTAATAGTAGTCTTATAATGATGGATTCATGATTTCATCGGAACACAAGAATCTTCACTATCCAATAATGAAATGTCATAACCAATAGAGTAAACTGGTCGACATCTAGGATATTAGATAAATATATCTCTTCACTGGGAATTGGATTCAGTTAAAGAAAGTCAACCCTTGAATTCTGACTAGCACGGGATGCGAAGATCTCATAATCGCAGGAAATTTGAAGATAGTCTCTTTAACCAGTCGTTAGATTACATAGAACCAGTAAAAATTAGGAGATTTTACTTATCAATGAATTTTCATGTAAATCAAGAATTCACTTGTATAAATATTTCCGTGTAAAGAAAGATATTTGAAAACTAAAATTTAAATGAGACTTGTTTAACAAATTTTCACTTCCATATACTAATTTCACTTTATTTTTCAGGAATGTGATCAAGTTCATATTGATGATATACGTGGAGATGATAATTGTCAAGATTTAGCGTAAGTGAATAATAAAATTTATTTGAATTAAAAGAGTAGTTTATTTTCTAATGATATATGCATATATATGCATAGCTTTCATGCTGAATGATCAAAAGCAGTGCTCATGAAACCCTGTTAGCTGGCATTTATCAACGAGGGTTACTTACACTATTTACGATATTCGAAACCAATGTCACCAGTTTATTAGACCTGGAAGTTGCCCCCCGAGCTATCTTTGTAGCCACTGACCTTCTGTAGGATTGAAATATATTATATTAGTTATCGACTGATTAGAGGACTGACTATATAATGTTTCTCTAGCTTTATCAACCAGTTTTCTATGTAGCTACTGATCTATATAATTCAACCTGGCTCCGAATCCCACAGCGATAATTGAGTCACTAGAGACTCCAAATACAGATCACGAATAGGCTAGCATCAAACCTAGATTAAAAGTACCCTATCAACCACTTATAGCCAAACAGAATCCTAACATAGTACAGGTGATGTCGAGTTACCTAGGCTTATGACTATATTGGAACTTGATCGATTGAATTCAATCAGCACTAAAGACTTGAATAACTATGATAATTTTTTTACTGTACAATGATTTATCAGTTTGTAGTGTACATTATCGGCCTAAATCTTGATCAAATACTAGTTGATAAATCATCTCATCAATTACATTACAAACAATAATATAATGATTCATTGTGCATCGCGGTTAATGAAATTCAATACCGTTTTCGTGCTTCTGAACTTATGAATGATGATGCTCAATGATCAATGAAAATGTTAACACAAGCATAATTAATGTGTGCACAATAAATTCAAGATTCTAATAATAAGATGTTAACATTCATAATTTTGTCACTCGCAATGATGTCGAGAAATTTAAAGTGAAACTATCTGATAGTTGAGGTGTTTTTCAAATGCTGGCTGCGACTGAGATATAAAATCCAACTATCTATAGTCCAGTGAAATAATCATAACGTGTTGATAACAAAATATTCAAGCATTCTGATTATCATTTTCGGTAGCAACACAATTATACGGAATTTAAACAAATCATTAATGATAAAATTTGCATTAAGAATTTTAGCGTATAAGTAATTTGATCATTTTTTTAGAGCAAGTTTTGTAGTATTACGAGTTATTTCTTGAACTAAAGCAAGAATTGTGAAATACCTGATGAACTCATGGTATTCCACAAATACTGTTGTTTTGTTTTATTAAAATCTAGCGTTTGTAAGGACTAGTAAAACAAGGATTAAACGACCATTCTATGATATTTAGTATTGTGGTGGTGTTTTGTTCCCTGAGCTCGGTGTTTTGGTTATGGAGCTGTCATTGTTCTTCTGAACAACATCATCAGCACAAACTTCAAATGGAAGTGAAATATTGGAATTTCTCCATGTTTGGCCCGTAGCTTGTTCTGTTAACATCGATCTTCGTTGGTTGCTATTGATCTGTTTCTTGATCTTAGCTCAGATGACGAAACACCATCATAATCATCCATCTGAGCTACAAACTTTCTCTACCATTGTGGGTAGGTATTCTCTCAAAGTCATTCCTAAAGGAAAATGATAAGTTTGCTATCAAAGCACTTTGATACTGCTTTTCTAACTGGCTTCTATAACTTCAATTACTTCTAAACATCAACTGGAGCAACCGAGAAAAGATGTGAATTGCGAATACAAGCTTTACGTCAAGATTAAGTCACGTACTGTAACACGAAGTTAGTTAAGCACAACTTTAGGTATCAAAAGATTCTTGGAACCATAGATCAGCCAAATAATCCATTGTTCAACCTCTCTTAGACACTAACGCATCACAGTAGATACATAGATAGTTTTACCATCTCTAATTTTTAGCTATCCACTGGTCGACTAAAAAGTATTGAGTAATTTTTCATGTGTGTTTCACACCATTATTTCATTCATTTAAACTATTCGACCAACATCACCACCACTACCACCATCTGTTCGTGTGCACACGTCCCCCTCTCTTTCATTTTCACACTCATACGTATACAACCGACAAATCAGAGACATACATATATATAGATTATTGTATGCATACAAGCATATTTTGTGAATATACGTATGAAGGCACCAACAAATAGACATACAGAGAATAAGATTTCACATTCCATTGGTTATAAATCGACTAACGAAAACTATACTTATGTAATCAGACTCTGGGTCAAATTTCATTTTCTTTATTCAAATAAAAAAAATTTTTTCCATTAAATATTTTGATTAGACTTGTTCGATTGGTCAGGAGATTTTCAGGGCATAAGAAAGAAACTCCATTTAAATACAGACTATATTTGGTAAACTTTATCTGTACAAATCAAAATGGTATATTTTGATATTATTTACTGAGAATTATTAATTCAAAACGGTGGTTCCCTTTGATAAATTTGAATAGAGAAATAAGAAGACATATTTTGTGAGATAGTACCATTTCGTGCTTTCTTATTAATTGTAATAAACTATCATACAAATGATGTCACCAATGCTTTGAAAACTAGTTACGAACCTAGAGAGCACTGAATAATTGATTTATGCTATTCTTACGGACTATGAAATCATTCGTGGCCCTGTCGTTTAGATAACACACTGAACATGATAGGTTTAAACAATTGCGTAAAAGTCGAATAATCTTCATTTCTTATTCCATTTTATTCACGGCATATAGTGCGCTGAGTAGCTAGCAGCATATGAAAACCTATTCATCCCAAGATCAGTTGGCTCTATTGATCTGAACCCCTCACAGTAAATCTATACTCTGGTGAAAGGACAGTCAAATTTCAGGGGAACCGATTACTTTTACTGTGTGAAATTCAAAAATTTTCACTCCAGTTCTCTACAAACAAGTTTCCACATTTGAAATCATTAATCAATCATCATTGTTAGACCACCATTAGAAACCTGGAAGCACTGGACGGCCGTTTCGTCCTAGTATGGGACTCCTCAGCAGTGCGCATCCACGACTCCTGCTCCTCGCAGGATTCGAACCCGGGACCTTTGGCATTGTAGGCGAACGCCTTACCATCGGACCACTGGGCCGGCATCCAACGGTGTTAATGTCTAACTCTGATTGATCTAGGGATTTTGCGCGACCTCACCCATTTGTCTTTGGTAGTTACTGCCTACACCCGACAGGGTTGAACTCCACTGGTCACGTCTTCTCAACTAGAACTCCGAGAATTTCCTCACGAAGCTAGTCACTAGTGAGCACTGTTACATTATATTGGGGCACAGTTTTGGAGGTTCGCGTTTTTACACATTTGAAATCATTAATCAATCATCATTGTTAGACCACCATTAGAAACCTGGAAGCACTGGACGGCCGTTTCGTCCTAGTATGGGACTCCTCAGCAGTGCGCATCCACGACTCCTGCTCCTCGCAGGATTCGAACCCGGGACCTTTGGCATTGTAGGCGAACGCCTTACCATCGGACCACTGGGCCGGCATCCAACGGTGTTAATGTCTAACTCTGATTGATCTAGGGATTTTGCGCGACCTCACCCATTTGTCTTTGGTAGTTACTGCCTACACCCGACAGGGTTGAACTCCACTGGTCACGTCTTCTCAACTAGAACTCCGAGAATTTCCTCACGAAGCTAGTCACTAGTGAGCACTGTTACATTATATTGGGGCACAGTTTTGGAGGTTTGCGTTTTTACACATTTGAAATCATTAATCAATCATCATTGTTAGACCACCATTAGAAACCTGGAAGCACTGGACGGCCGTTTCGTCCTAGTATGGGACTCCTCAGCAGTGCGCATCCACGACTCCTGCTCCTCGCAGGATTCGAACCCGGGACCTTTGGCATTGTAGGCGAACGCCTTACCATCGGACCACTGGGCCGGCATCCAACGGTGTTAATGTCTAACTCTGATTGATCTAGGGATTTTGCGCGACCTCACCCATTTGTCTTTGGTAGTTACTGCCTACACCCGACAGGGTTGAACTCCACTGGTCACGTCTTCTCAACTAGAACTCCGAGAATTTCCTCACGAAGCTAGTCACTAGTGAGCACTGTTACATTATATTGGGGCACAGTTTTGGAGGTTTGCGTTTTTACACATTTGAAATCATTAATCAATCATCATTGTTAGACCACCATTAGAAACCTGGAAGCACTGGACGGCCGTTTCGTCCTAGTATGGGACTCCTCAGCAGTGCGCATCCACGACTCCTGCTCCTCGCAGGATTCGAACCCGGGACCTTTGGCATTGTAGGCGAACGCCTTACCATCGGACCACTGGGCCGGCATCCAACGGTGTTAATGTCTAACTCTGATTGATCTAGGGATTTTGCGCGACCTCACCCATTTGTCTTTGGTAGTTACTGCCTACACCCGACAGGGTTGAACTCCACTGGTCACGTCTTCTCAACTAGAACTCCGAGAATTTCCTCACGAAGCTAGTCACTAGTGAGCACTGTTACATTATATTGGGGCACAGTTTTGGAGGTTTGCGTTTTTACACATTTGAAATCATTAATCAATCATCATTGTTAGACCACCATTAGAAACCTGGAAGCACTGGACGGCCGTTTCGTCCTAGTATGGGACTCCTCAGCAGTGCGCATCCACGACTCCTGCTCCTCGCAGGATTCGAACCCGGGACCTTTGGCATTGTAGGCGAACGCCTTACCATCGGACCACTGGGCCGGCATCCAACGGTGTTAATGTCTAACTCTGATTGATCTAGGGATTTTGCGCGACCTCACCCATTTGTCTTTGGTAGTTACTGCCTACACCCGACAGGGTTGAACTCCACTGGTCACGTCTTCTCAACTAGAACTCCGAGAATTTCCTCACGAAGCTAGTCACTAGTGAGCACTGTTACATTATATTGGGGCACAGTTTTGGAGGTTTGCGTTTTTACACATTTGAAATCATTAATCAATCATCATTGTTAGACCACCATTAGAAACCTGGAAGCACTGGACGGCCGTTTCGTCCTAGTATGGGACTCCTCAGCAGTGCGCATCCACGACTCCTGCTCCTCGCAGGATTCGAACCCGGGACCTTTGGCATTGTAGGCGAACGCCTTACCATCGGACCACTGGGCCGGCATCCAACGGTGTTAATGTCTAACTCTGATTGATCTAGGGATTTTGCGCGACCTCACCCATTTGTCTTTGGTAGTTACTGCCTACACCCGACAGGGTTGAACTCCACTGGTCACGTCTTCTCAACTAGAACTCCGAGAATTTCCTCACGAAGCTAGTCACTAGTGAGCACTGTTACATTATATTGGGGCACAGTTTTGGAGGTTTGCGTTTTTACACATTTGAAATCATTAATCAATCATCATTGTTAGACCACCATTAGAAACCTGGAAGCACTGGACGGCCGTTTCGTCCTAGTATGGGACTCCTCAGCAGTGCGCATCCACGACTCCTGCTCCTCGCAGGATTCGAACCCGGGACCTTTGGCATTGTAGGCGAACGCCTTGCTTTTTGTAGATAGTGGGGACAGGATTTCGATCAACAAATGTGCTTCCTGGACAGATTTTCTCGGTATTACCATTATGTTACAAGTTTTCAAGTAAAGTTGAATATTAAACATCAACGGAATCCATTAGGTATATCCAGTTGATGAATCGAAGACCGGATGAAATGCACGTCCTGGATTCTACTATTAGTTGTTATCCAGCTTTAAAAGGATATTTTTAATAATCCAGTGAAGAAATGATATTTTAGAAAATAGCGTAAAAATAATGTTGATCTCAAAATTTTTTTTAAATCTCCCAGGTTTAAAAGTTAAGAGCAATACTCTAGTATAACAGTGAAGTATATTTCTAATAAAGTGTGAATAATTACCATGGTCAGTTATGTCATTGTTAGCAAATGTCCCTTTTTACTTCACTGTTGAGATTCAGGTCGAGACATTTGTCCCGGATCACATTGCTAAGTGTCATCAATTTATTCTAAATACTAAAACCATTTTTTTAATCAAGTAGTTTGTATATATTTGTTAGTTCTCAGTAAAGCCTAACATCATCTAACAAACTAGTAAATACTAAGAAATTGTTCTAATCTCGTTTAACACTGATCCAAAAGGACTTATTTGGCTAAACTTATAAATTCCAATCTTTGTGCTCCTAGATTTCTAATGGTGGTCGAACACTGATCGATTCATGCTGTCAAATGAGTAACTTACCAATCTTCACAACTCCGTAAACATTCTTAACTAACTAACTAAAGATTAATTCTCACCGTTGTACTCATTTATTAGTCCTAAACTTATTGGTCTTTGATTATGATGAAAGTGCATTTGATGAGCCTAAAACGGGACGAAATATCCTTCCTAGATTCAACTACTTGCCATAATGCAACTTTTTTAAAAAAAACATATTACCCTGTGGTAATACTGAGTCATTTCGTTCACGAGACATACACGTCAATAGAGACTGGTCAAACACAGTTCATGATATTAACCGAACAGTTTTTCTCCTTATTCAAGCAATAAGAACACGATGATATAAGTGACAGTCTGGAGGTGGGATTAATTATTCCTAGCGAATTATCATATTCCAGATTGAAACTCTATCTCATCTCCTCCATTTTCAATAACTGAGTACTGTCACTAACTTCGCGATAAAGTATCGATTAGAACCAATTGCGTGAAGTCTGCACTTGGTCAATAAAATGGTCACATTCAAAGATTTCTTAACAAATATTAACAGTAATAATGAAACATAGAAGAAGGTGACTATTTATACACACACACCTACTCATGAATAATGATGGTGTATATATATATATATATATATATATATATATATATATATATATATAATTAATCTGTTCATTGAATGATAAATAGTCCAAATAGTCTAAATTTTATTCGACTTGTAACTTGAGCTTGTATCAGCTTACACGTTTCGATTGTTATTCTTCTTATTTATTAGTAGTAGTATTGTCATTATTATTATTATTATTATTATTATTTTTGTCTGTTTGTTATCTATTATTAGTGCGCTAAGTTTATTCCCCATGATTTTATTCGTTTATGTAATTAGTTACTTTTTTTATTATGAAAAAATTAGTAGATGAAATAGGTAAACAGAGAATGACTAATAAATTAATTCCATTTGTTATATAAAAGGGACAATGTCAAAAAAAACCAGATGATCAAGCAATTGTACCAAATTATATTGAGGACTGATTATAGTTAGACTTGTACACTGTTTAATTTCGGCTCAGTGGTTTAGACGTTAAGAGATCATGGGTCCTGATTTCGATCCCTGTCTACAATGTGGTGGAAACGCTCTGCCTAGAAATCCCATCCTGGAGTAAAATGGTTGTCTAGTGCTTCTAGGTTTTCAATCATTGTCTGACTTTGATCGATACCTGTTTATATATTGAAATTAAACAATTTCCACATCCCATACTGACAATATCTAGATAATTCATTTATTTGTCTTCGTACAACTCCTATAATCAATATTTTAGTTTTATCAACAAGAATAATGTTATTGATAGATTTATGTAAGTTCTTAGACAAAGTTCGAATTGATTTAACCAGAAAACAAAATCTGTTGCATAAATTTGCAAAGTCACCGTTACACATTTAACTCTGTTAAATCATAGTTGGTTTATAGTAGTTCTAATTGTGATGAGTTATCATAACCATGTGCAAAGTTACACAGTGATCACCATTGGCATCTCAACATTGTCAACCTACATTGTACGGATTTAAACTGTCACACCGTAATTCAATGTTCAGTCTTCGATAAAATCATATATGCCTACTAATATGAATTTTCAAATATAGAAGACACAGTTGTTGATGACTATCAAATTTTCAATGATTTTTTAACTGTAGTCATTTTGTAAAGAAAACTATCTTCAACTTCAGACAAGATGGGCTTTTTTCTGAAATATATCAAAATCAGAGATAACGAAAAATCTTATGGTTTAGAATGAAGCTTTTGCAATGAAGTTGAGTTTATACTCACTCACATTATGAAAATTTATTCAGAATAATTAGCGATTACGTTTCAGAAAAACTAAAAAATATATATATCTGGTTGGTTTTGTAAATAAATAAAGTCAGCCAGTCTTGTCAATTAGTTTCAAAGTTTTTAATTGTTTCTACTTTATTCTTTGGATTAGATAAATCTGTCAGTCAATAGCAATTTCTTCATTCTTATTTAACCATTACTAAATAGGAATTATCGTTTCGATTCTGAAGTATATGGAGATAATTCATCGACAATGTCACAGTCAATTATTTTATCGTCAACACCATCATCATCATCATCATCGTCGTCGTCAACAGCGACGACGGTACATGCTCCGATGACATCTTCACTGGAAACCTCATCACCACCTGTACATGGCGGTATGCTGTCATCACCACCACCGCCAATATCCTCATTTTCATCTGTAGTACCACTGGTTAATATGACTGGAGAAATTTCCACTAGAGTGAATACACCCACCTTACATGGTAGTATGGAATGGATGCGTAAATTGGGATTTCGATATCGTAGAATACGTGAAATATATAACTATTCAAGGTAAGATAATAATAATAATAATAATGTTAATTGGAAGTAATCATCTAAAAAAAAACAATAAGCTTAAGTTTCATGATAGTTTGTACTAATCAACAGGAGCTAATGCTCACATAAACTATTGAATCTTGATCACCAAAGAAAGCTTGTTCTTCATTTTTATTTATATTGACTTGAGGAATTTAACAATTACCTAATATAAATGTAATTAAATAATTTGAAATAATGATAACAATGACTTTCTTTGCTATCATAAATTGTTATATATATTCTCAGTACTAATGTAGTGAAGGAGAACACAGGTGAGGGCAACCGAATCGTATTTATCGCAAATTACAGAGTTACTCAGTAAAATAGGAAAACCATATAGTAAACGATTAATTTGCAAATCTTCAATCCATCATCAATCCATTGTCTGACATTTCACTGTTCATGCGTTTCATACAAATTCCATTGTGTTCCCACTCTTCCTTTCTTGATCTTCCCCCATCTTCTGCGTTTTCACTCGCGTCATATACTACTTATAAGTAGCGCGCACCACACTAAGTTTGCAATGTTACTATAAATTTCTGGATTTGTTATTGATCTACAACAAATTCTATACAGATTTTCAATAGTCAATATCAGCTATCTATTTTCAATTTAGAGAAGTTTCCTATCAGTTTATGTGGTATAGTAAACAGTCTTTATCCCAAATGTACATCGGTTGTGAAGCTAACGAAGTGAATAGCTCGTTTATCCTATTTTAAGTAAGATCATACACTATTGTACACAAAGTAGTTTTCATTCCGAATTCAGTTAATGATGTAAACTATTAACAAATCGAAATAGTCTTCATGAAACTTCATATAAACCATTTATTATAAGTATAAAAGATTTGTAGTTTTACGTCATGGACTCAATTTACCTAGACAATCTTTGGATACTTTGAAATACTGAATGACCGTTCCGTCGTACTAATATATGATTTATAAGCAAGTTGAATATGCATGACACTACTGAGCATTAGAATTTCAATCTTCAGGTTACATAGCAGGCATTTAACTTACAAATCATTGATTTTTTGTTCAGATTTTCACGTTTTCTACTTCAGTTATTGGCATTTGACGTGCGAAAATTCCCAACTTATAAATTAATGCCTAATATACCAGTGAGTTTATACTTTAATCTCGAAAAATTTCTTTCTGAGAAATTCGTCCGACACTTAAGTGTTTATGATGTTCACAAATAGTGGGGGGGGGGAGTTTAAACTATTGTCTATGATGTGATAAACAGATAAAGTATTGAGATGATTTATAAAGACCAAATATAACAACAAAGCAGTCTTGGTTATAAAAATCTATTTTCAAACCATGAATGCATCAAGTAATTAATCGCCTGAAGTTCTACGATAAAGCAAACGTGTTCTGTTTTATACAATTAACTTGCCTCATACTTTATTATTAGACTTGAAAACAGTAGTAAGCTGGTTTCTTCTTGAATTAAATCTATGAAATATGTAGGCAAGCACTTTCATAAACCGTAACTTTCTTCCACCTGAAATTTTTGGCTGTAGACGAGTTTTCAATACATTATGTTGTTAGAAACTATTGATATTTAGGAGACATTAGATTGAGTAACATTGATTTCACTCGGAGTTTATCGCTTAAATAGCAGTAAAGTTGTATGTTGCACTTTATACTACTTATCATTCAAACAGTAGTAATGTCATTAATCGATCAGTATTAGACCACCATTAGAAACCTGTCAACAATGGAACTAGCATAAGACTCATCAGCAGTGGTCATCCACAACCCCAAAGATCTTCTAATGACCCTTATAATAGGACGAAGCGGGTGTCCAGTGCTTGTAGGTTTCGAATAGGGGTTTAACACTGATCAATCTACGATTTCATTGGAACACAACAATCTTCACAATCCCATAATGATAATTAATATGTACTGGTTGACTGAATCTTGCCATCCATATTTAGGAGTGACATTGATCTCTTTTTGACCCTGATTTGCATCGTGTGAGGATTTCTTCAGTATTGCAACTAAATCGTAAACATTTTTAATATGTTCCACTGTCCATCACGTCAAATCTAAAGTATGAAGAGTAGACTAGATACATAAACCCTAGAATTCAGTCATGTCGGAAAAATTTTTTTTTCAATATTTCCCAGTCCAGTCTCTACACTAACATACAACTTCAACAATCAACAAGTAAAATTAAAATGTATTTAGTATTTTAGCTTGATTAATTAGTTGTTGAAATATCACAATCTTTCAACCATATAAGTATTAGTCTAGCTATCTAAGAATCATTCATTCAAAAAATGCCTATATGCAGTAGATAGTTTTTCAGCTGAAGTTCATAATGCTTTAAAGCTGTGTTAAATTAACCGTAACTCAAAAATTAATCCAATCCTGACTGTAGCTAACTGTATTTCCTTGAAAAAAAAAACAGTTTCTTTTGCATGCTATTTTTCTAATCTTGTCAAAATTGGTCATAATATGATTCGCATACTTATTCAACCTATAGTCCATGACTTTGAAGCCATATTTTAGCGCTCAATATGCTCATCCTTAAACTTTAGTCTTGTCATGATCCAAATATCTTAACTACGAGTTATTCAAGTAACTCAATAGATTGCATAATTTCCTATTTTTTCTTTAATTCATAAATATTCTTATCTCTATGAAGCTTCATTTTATGAAATGCATGTGAATATGATTTAGATGTTTGTATTAAGGGTTATTTGCCTTCTAACTTAATCTTTTATTACACTGATCACTAATAACTATACTGCGTTGTGAAATGATTTCTACTAATTAAAATAATGTATGATGTTTTTGTCTTATTTTAACCTGTTTATCAATTTTAAAGTAACTATTATGCTCGTCACTTGATGTGCTTGAAGCTATTACGAGTTCACCTTAGTCGATAATCGAGTACAAGACAATGAACCAGTGACACGGTAGGCTACTCTGATCCGTTGCCACAACTAACTGAAGAGAAAAGTCTTGATATGGCGTAGAAAGTGCATTCTACAAGCACCCAGCAAACTCAATAATCTCAAGCACACAAATTGCGTTTGGGAGAGTCACAAAAATATCACACTAAAATAACACATCAACCAATCACAGCCAAGGATTTTCCTGGTGGGAAATGTGATCTCAAGGTCAACTGACCAGCCCATGAATAAAATTACAAAAATTACAAAATAAAGACATTTATTTATCAAGCGAGTTCTGGGCATCTAACGTCCCCAACAGTAACTGATGAGTTCGAAATATTTAAGTATAGTGAATTCATGTAATTGTTCATTTCAGTTAACTATTGGATTTTGACTAGATGGTTAGAAAGTATTATTATTTGAAGTATCACAGAGAGTAATATCTTTCGTAAGACAACCATTGAAAACCAGGAAGAAGTGGACAGTCGTTTCATCCTATTATTAAACTCATTAGTGTTATGCATACACGACTTCACCAGGAGGAATCTATTTCATGACCTTTTTGGCCTCACGATAAACACTTAAGCTTCACACCCCATAATAGTAACTTGATTCACCAGATTATTTGAAACATACGTCATACATAACTACACAACATTCACCGCAATTTCTTGAGTAGTAGTCGAATGTGGAAATCATTGAAATAATCAAACTTAACCTTCTTTAACAATGATGGAGTTGTTTCAGACTTTATATTCCTCATGTATTTTATTTACTCTTCACAATCATTCCATAACAATTTAATCTTGAATTCTTTTCGTCGGTTTGTATTCTATTGACTTTCTATTAATAGGATGACGAAAAGCATGAAAGTATACACTAGCCTTTATTTCTTTTAATTGACTTTTGTGCACTCCTGGATAAGCTAAGCATTTGGAAAACCAATGACTATTTATCGATCATAAAAAGTTTACTTTATTATGAGTTAGTTTTTACTATAAAGTGACATGAACTAAAGGTCACACCATATTTAGTTTGGTGTAGTTTGGAATCGCATACTAGATTCACTTATTGATGATAATCACAGAACACTAGTTGTAGCTTGAATATCTCAGTAGTAATGCTTAACACGAAGAATCTTAATGACATGGATTTTAGTCCTATAAGATGTATTATTTCCTTTAAGCTTTCAAGGAGGCCGTGCTGACCAGTCCAAACTTCGATTTAAGGTGTCCCCTTGACTATCTCTAACCATCTAACATTCAATGGAATTGTTTATTATTCACTGTATACCAACGATTTCATACGCGATTGAGATCGAATTTCACAGTCTTTACAATTCACTGTAAAAGGTTATTCGAATAAAACTTGGCTTCAACAAGACAAATTATTACTTTGAAATAAATATGTTTATTATTATTATCGTCTATAGTTATTTTTTTCATCCTTTCATTTCTTAGGCATAATGTTAGTGTACTTTTAGGTTATCCGAGAGCAAATCAATGGATGAATTTAAAAAACAATTTGGACATACTCACTGATCAATGGTTAAGTTTAGCTGTAAAAGCAACTGAGAAAATTAATAATCGTGAAGATAGTGTTAATCTATTAGTAACCACAACACAATTTATACCGTCATTAGCAAAAATTTTACTCTATGGATATGGTAATTCATTTCAAATTGAAAATATTTACTCTGCTACCAAAGTGGGTAAGTCTGAGATGGAAACAATTCATTGTCTGTTTGAATCATATGTAAATATTGAAATTCAGATTATACACCTTAGATTTGATTGCTAACAAGTTGGAAATGTGATTAACAATAGAATAGAACTCACATTTCGTTCTATATTGTAAACTTTATCAGCTGGGCGTAGGCGATTGCTAGTGTTGGTGTTCACATCAAGATTTGAATCTAGTACCAAATACCGGATTCGGTTTCTACAGAATTCAGAAAATCATTACATATTGTTCCTTCGATATGAAGTTATGGATATGTAAGGATTCTGTAATTTCGCGTGTTAATTTCATGCAATGTATCTGGTAGATGTTCATCCTGAGCAGATTACTTCTATCATCGCCTTTAGTTAGAAGTTTTTCACAGTACAAAACTAATACACACTGCCCTAGTTAGTTTTTGCTGTTGACAGAAATAAAACTATTTAATAGTACACTTTTACTATCCTCGTTCTTATTACTCTACAATCAATTACAGTGATCAACATCTAATCAGTGATTTTTCACCGATCGATAAGTAACAATAAAACACTTGGTCTCAATAGATTTGTGAAGAGTAGTAAAATATTCCTCTATTAGAAAATTATTAATACTGGTATGACCGAGAGGATTGATAACACCAGTCAGAACCAATTTGTACCGTGAATAAAAGAACTAACAATGAATCTGATTATTATCTTTCATATCTTTAGCCTTGAAATATTCAAAGACTAAATATGGCCTATGATTCGAAAGAACCAGTGTTTAGCCGGAATATCCATTTATCTTACTCAGTTTTAGGGAAAATAAGATTCTAATGAAAAAAAGGAAATTGAATGGTTTAACAACAAATTAAACTATCTAATATAGTTTGTAGTGAGCGAGTCAAGATACCAGATTGACTATGCTCACCACTAAATGTTCCATAATATGGCGCGATCATTGAAATCAAAATAAATCCATGACCCAAGGTTTTATTGAAGGAGACAGTAGGCATCACATCGGGAACAGCAAATAGAGAAACATGGCAGCGACGCGAAGAGACGTTGCGCGCAAGAAGTCGTAGAAGTGTTTTTGGTACAGTTAAACAAAACGAGAACAATAATGTTTATTTTTCACAAATCGTATTTTCTTCGTAGAAGCGTTCCACTACAAGTTTATTGTAGCTAATTTGTTGATTTTTATTTCAAACATATCTTTATCAAATAATTAAACATCAGTATAATTTAGTGGGCTCTCAGTGTAACGACTTGTATTAGGTCATAAAGTGTTAACAATGCAGAATTTTATTCATTGGGATATGATAGATAGTAGTTTGTATTTTCATATATGTATATAAATACGCTCGATCAATTAAACAGTGATCCTGTATCCTAAAACCTGTTCAGTGAACATTTAGAAATAGGTCTATTGAGTGGATTCGAAGTTAAATCATCTCCAACATATTGATTAAGCCTTTAGAAACTCAAATAAACATTTGAGTTATAAAAAAAAGTAGAGGCAACTATAGTAAATGAACAATTCCGTCTTCAGATGCAAATCCTGTTCGACCTATTTCGATTTGGCCGAACAGATTGCATCACTAGTATTTAGATAAATGTAATGATATTATCCAGTACATTTACATGTTGTACCTTATGAGTGCCAAATGTCAACGGAAAAAGCTAGAAGGTATAAGGTCCAGAGTCACATAGCAAGCAATCTTATCTGTCATTAAAAATGGCTTGTTTCACATATTTTTAAATTATAACTACCTAAAGTATTGAGCAGAGGTGTTTAAATCTAAGTTAGTGAGTCAGAAGTAACTTTAGATCTAGTACAAATAAGTGTCAACTTAAATTGTCACACTCGGCCTTGGAACAAAGAGAAGAATTAACAAGATAAAGTATAAAGTAATCGAAGCGATCATATCAACATTATTGATAGCTGAACCATATAATGTGATTGAAAAAAATAAGAAGAATGAACTACGCGGATTGAAAAGTATACGCCCATAATATACTCAAATTTGGGAGAATATAAAAAATGAATGTATCTACACAACTCAAACTTATTTTGAAATATACTTAGATTTATTGGAAAGAACACAGCAAATCGAACCTGCTACATATATATCTGGTAGTAAAGTGATTACTTAATGAGTAAATTTTCAATTTGTAACGTGTTGATAATGTACTAGTTATGTGTAAAATAAGGTGTGGTATTTACAGTAATCTAAACCAAAAGATCAGGAGGAACTAGTAGATTCCCATGATGTTAGAGGCTCTAAACACGATGGGATGCGGCAAAAGTTCAAACGTAAACTAACAAAACTGTACGGAATGACTGTGAGCAGTAATGGGTAACGAAATCAAAAAGAGGGAAAAAGTCAGTGGCGATAGGTGACATCAGAAAACTCTGCTGAATGACCAAGGAAACAATTGTTAGGGATCGGACAGTAAGGAGACTTTCTCCAAACAGCTGGTACTATCATTCATTCGCAATCCAAGGGATAAGATCAGTTGGTAGAACCCTTTGACGAACAGTTTAATCACTTTAACTACCCTTCAGTTGCATACTTTGATGAAATTCAGACAGTTCATTGCTTCTTAAAGTAAATTCGACTGATGTTGTTTAGGAAAGGCAGTGAAAATGAAACAGTGGCTTAGTAGTTAAGGTATTCAACCTCTAACCATCAAGTGAGAAATTCGAGACCAATTTCACATATTTCAGATTGAGCATCCTGTTATTGTCATTAGTCCGTACATCCGTGTACACAAATCTGTGATTGGCAAGTAAGTTTCATCACTCTCTACCTGTAATGAAAATATATTTGACATTAACAAAATCCATCTCTTCAATCACTAAGTTTTCTCAATAATTTATTGTTTATAAGAATAGTACCTGAACTGTTTTCATTCATTGATGATGTACTTGGTTAGGGTATGCACGCTTTTATTTTGTCGTAGAATAATTTTAGTGCAGAATTAAACAATAATGATTTATGTAATTTACAACTTCATCTAGTTAATATCATGTTTTATGAACTTGAAATGAATTCTCAGCAAATCATATTATTATTTGTACTGTTCAGAAAATTTTTATTGTTGATATTTACGAATGCATCTGATCGATTTCTGTCAATAATGTGAACTCTTTAAGAGTGTTCCAAATTCATATCTGATGTTCGTATAGGGACTAAAATCCAGCCTACATCGATTTAAACACTAAGCTTTAGAGATATTGAACTTATGAGTAACCAATCTATTCAACTAGTTTATTATTTATCTACATTAATCTGGCTGATGAGTTCTAAACAGAATGAAGGGCGTTTCCTTAATCTAATTACCAGTTACTATTAAAAAAATAGTCATCATGAAGTTATTATATAAAATAATCATCATATATATATATACGACAAAAAATATCTAAGCCAACTCAAATTAACTTTTATTATATTGACATAGGTAAAGAGAATTGTTTTGAACGAATCGCATCAAGATTTGGAAGAAAATGCACTTATGTAGTGATTGGAGATGGGAAAGAAGAAGAAGACGCTGCAAAACAGGTCAAATTTATTTTATTTAATAAATTATAAGTTATTAGTGTAATTATATAACTAGCAATAAGATTTTGGAACTCTGTCTGCAGAGTTAGGTATGCATCACTAGTTGTCTGATTGTGGATATACACTTTTAACTGGTCTGTTTATATGAAAAGTTTCTTAATGTAATTATGACTTTATTAGATTTATATTATTACAAGTTATGATTAGGTTCTTGTATTCACACTAATGATAATACGTCAGTTGGCTGTTTCTTCTGTATTATTTCCATCTCATTATTCCTTCCCAAACTTTGAAAAAAAAAGATCGCGTTGTGTTTCTTAAGTACTCAATACTTTGTTCGTTAGGGTCAATGATTTATTCTCTGAATCTATTACGAGAGAGAGAGAGAGAGTAAGGATGAGAATGGTGATTCGAAATCTTGGAAGAAACCTCATAACTTTCCTCCGATAGAATAAGATACAAGTACACTAGAATTTAAACTGAATGACAAGAAATCCAAAACTCAACTTTATCGCTAACTAAACTCATTTACTTATTACCTTTAAATTTTCTGAAAGGATGTTCAGTAATACATACATGTAAATACTAACTGGAATATTACTGAGAAACTACAGTAACCTGTTGAAATATTCAATGAACGAACCGGTATTTGAAAAAATGTTAACTGCATTCTAGTTTCATTATACAAATAAACAGTTATGTTCAGCCAATAAACTTTTAAAATAGAACAAAACGGGAATTCACGGTTTAATTGCTCGTGAGAATTCAACATTACTATAAGTTATAACTTAATGCCATTATTCAGACAGTCGATTCGGAATGTATACCTACTAAGAGTGATTGAGCAATTAAAATTCAAAATAACAAGAACGGGAAATTACAAACTTTTACTAAAGCAATAACTACGCGGTGTTGGGAGAATTATTATTATAATACCTTGGTACGGCCGAGTAGGAAGAGTTCTCTCTCCCTCCTTCTCGAAAAGCTTTCATAGAGCCACGAATACATAGCCACTGTTAAGGAAATCGTACATACTGCTTTTTCACATCAAGAGTGTTGTTAGTGAAAATGTCATGAGGAGAAGTGAATGTCCGGTGCCTAAACCGGATTACTAGGGGCAGAAAATCTACCTAGGGTTTGAGTTTTGCAACATTCTAAATAAATCTTCATTATGTCATATAATAAAATTATAATCTCCAGTATTCTAGAACCACTAACCAAATTATTGTTACAAAAATCTGATTTTACTACATATTGCTTCTTCAAAACAAGTTACCCTTCACTATTGAACAATCGACTTAGTAAAAATTCAATGTATTTGATTAAGTTGAATTGACTACACGTGGAGAAACTTGTTTATACAGATAGGAAGAATTTGTTTTTTGAAATGCCTACTATATTTGTTTTCTTTTTTCAACTGTAGTTCCAATGGCCATTCTGGAGAATAAATGCTCATTCAGATTTGATTGCTTTAAATCACGCTTTGGATTTAGGATATTTATAATTCATCAACAATCTTATGATATAGTGAAATATTAATTTCTGATTTTTTTTCCCTCACGTTACTATTATTATTATATTTATTGTCTTTAATATCAATGGAAAGTTTATATTTTTGCTTTACAAAAAAATACTTATCTTCAGTAAATCAATATGTACATATATGATGGTCTTAGAGATACAACATTACTGATTATTTATAATTTATTTCTCAGCATTTTTAGTGTAATAAATGTTGAATCTAACACATTATTAATTCTGTGATTTTTTTCACTATACTCAAGCCAACATGAAAGACATTGGTGATAAACTGTGGCTGATGCGCTCAGATATTTGACCTACAGAGTTATTCTTTTCTGTTAAGGCATTACGATGGTTTTCCATTGAGGTCATCTTAAAGTGTAATGTTTAAGTTTAATTAACGTCAGTGTATGCAAATAGCATGTCCCGATGTATTTATATACATTAGCTATTCGTCTTTATTCATGAATTAGCTATGTTTTCTTTCTCAACTTCACAATCTAAACGATGAGTGTTATCGTGAATATATTGAGAATTTTAAATGATTATCATTAGCCTTTTACTTTGGTAATTCACTATTCTGTCAGACGATCTGCGTTACAAAGACTACTCTTAATACCGTATTTGAGTACGCTTAATTTGTGGTTAACCTAAATGAGCATTACTATGACCTTCATCGACCAGAGGTTGAATTATTTAGCTTTCAACCACTAAGCTGTATTTATAAACTCGATTTACTGCACGTCTAGATAGTTAAGTAATGTCACTTAATCTTATTAAAATCGATGTGACTTAAAATTGAATACGTGTATCCGTGTACTTGATCAGTGAGTTGTTAAAACTGATTATTGAAAATCATGTCAACATTGTTTAAAAAAAAATCATAATTGTATAGTATGATATAGAGATCTCACTGCTCTATCTCATAACTGAAATATATAACATCTAAAATAAGAAGATAGCAGTTTCCTTCCAAATATTACAAAAGAATAATAGAAGGAATTTAATCATATGTAATACAACTTCAAAATAGACAACATGAAGCATACGAACTTACAGTAATAAGACTGAAAAACATATATATATTTTAGAAACGAATAACCTAGTAATAATCCATTCAGTTTTAGTTAAATGAACGCATAAAAAGAATAAATAGATTGACTAAAAAAAGTGTATTAATTGTGAACACCACATAAAATAACAATTGTATACTGATTGATTTTAAACAGTTTCATGTAATATATACTATTACCACATTAGAATAAAGGCGAATTATTGAAAAAATTATCCCTATTAAAAATACGGATGTAACGTTCAAATTAATCAATCCAGTTTCGATTAGAAACGGTTGACAAGGCAACGTACAACAAATCCTATCATATATATGTACATATATATAAAATGAAGTTTACAAAAATGAGAATTACGGAGAATAACGTTTACTTGCTGCTTTTAAGCATCGTTCTCGTTGAACATACAACTGTAGACTGTTCAAACATAACTTCAGAAAATTTAACTGCTAGTTTAACAAATATGATTTTCAAATGTCAAATTAATGGTCAATATAGCAAAACAATTACGAATAATCAATTAAAGAAAACTGAATTAACTACAATGTGGAGAGTACTATATGAAATACAACAAATTCTAACTGGTTTCCACTGCAATCAAGTAGCTTAGCTCAAAGGAATGTCAGATATTGATAAGTAAATTCTTGGACTGTAAATTGCTTATAGTCATCTGGTTGGTTTATGAAAAATAATGTTGAAACTTTCTTTCATAACATGCTTTATGATTTATGAAATAATAGAATACACTTTTTGAGTGCTAACCATTAATACATTTGATGTTTTACACGGTTTTAATATATAGACAGTGAGATTATCCATTGATGTTTGTTATGAATTTGCACTAGTAAATTGATAAGCTTCCGATAAACTAATTATATTTTTTCACCCTAGTGGTATCTTCTTGGTAAAACAGTGTTTTCGATTGATAAAATTAACCGTTCAGGCCAGTCTCTTCACATTGATTGAACATATGGTTTTATAATGCCATGCATCTCAATGTCAGCATATAGATGAGAGGATTTTCGTTGATGATTAATTTTATATTTTAAGCAAAGTGATGCAGTTATTATGTAGGTTTCCGGGATTGTAGACGTTAGATATACATTAAGAACCTGAACTGATTTTCACTTTAATGAACTCATATTCCCGCAATGATACTTATCAGTAACCTTATATATCGATTATAAGTGCTAAAAGTTGAACACTGGTCTCCGTAAGACAGACAGAGAGGGATGGTAGTCTCTGTGAATGTTTTATCTCATGGGTTCCGTAGTAAGACAATAGTGTGATTATTTTGAGCTCTTTTGCCCCAATATCAAAAACCTAGAGGTGTTAAGAGTCTTCTTGATTGACCAAATCAACTTTGTATAAGTCATCATGGAAATAAAAACAAGTTTCAAATTTGTTATTTTAGGACGGATAAACTTGACAATGATATTGACAAACGGCGCCAGGTGATGGTTAGTGTTGCGATAGTGGCAAGGAGAGTATCATATACCAGACCAGTTTGTACTGTTGTTAAAGTTTTTGTTCGTCCATTCACACGGATATCACTTGCAGTGTTGATTGGTTCCCGATACAGAGGTTCCGGAGATGCCTCTGATATGGAACGGAATTAATGAGAGTAAATATAGAAAATAGGACTTTGGAGAGATTGTCTGAAAAAAAGACAACTGGATGAGTCAACAACGCACTATATATAGTGGCTAATAGGTGTGAATTACTTGGCTCTTCCATATTATAAAGATTATAATGATACTGAAGCGTGAAAGGATACAATGATACTGATTCCAATCAGAATTAAAACTGCGTATACTGCACAGCAGGTACATTTAATGGCAATGATTCACAAGAAAAGTCTCGGATTATGGGAAAGCCTCAGGTGATTGGTACTGGCCCATAACAGAACCTATGCATGACACTCAGCTCTAACTTCCTCGGTTTTTGTTTGCCAAGTTTATGAAGGTAAGTGCTTGAGGAAATACTTTTTTCAGCACATCATAATGCAAACTTTGACGTGGCTCGAATACTCCAGTTCAGATAAAATAACTCTTTGGGATATAAAAGCCCAGGTGTGAAGTCGGTCTTTTTATTTGATTCCCCATCACTGGTTCACGAATGGACACTACCGGTGAGAACGATGCAAGGACGAAGTAGATGTCTAGTTTTTCACTGGATATCTATTACATACAGGTTTCCTGACTTAAAAATGGTTCCATCCTCATTACCGAAGCAGCGGATGAAAACGTAATGCACATGAATTCTAGTCAAACAAATGTGACTGAGTTTCCTCACTTTTAGAACAGATCAGATAGGTTCTAATGTTGGGCTAATATTTTGCAACTACAAATTCAATAAAGTAAACGAGACTGTTTCCACCCTGCACACTAACTACAGTGAGAAGTCCAATTTAGTAGTGCAAACTATGTTGATGATGATCCCCAAACAGAAAAAATGCATTTTAAATTAGTCGGTTGTGTTAGTACAGCAGCTGCGACTTACGAACAGTTATTGTCACTGAACACATGGTAGAAATTTATTCAAAGTTTATAAAGTAATGCAACAAAAATGTATTTAAAGTCAACTTTAGACAAGCCTTAAATCAGTCACTTTTCCTTCTGATAAGCGGTATTATCCAATGCAGATAAATTAAGACATTATTTGGGATTAAAATATTCATCTATCATCCTAGTACTATTATTTGCACAGACCAACACACGGTTTTCCTGTCAAAGTATCAAATAACTGTAGCACGAAATTAGTTCGCAAAGAGACAACACCGGTATGAAGTTTGTTTGTAGAGGAATTTCAATCTTTTCGAAAAACGACTACGATAGCAATGCCGTTGGACTGGGTCTTTTTTATGAACTAAGAACCGTTAGGTACTTAGGACGGAGCATATTTCGGCTAGCTGTGATGCTAAAAACTTTACAAACTAATGATTTCGATACAAAATTACGCTAAAACTTACAGAGTAATCAAATTTTAAGATTTTATAACAGCAAACTCAGTAAGGTTTAAAAAAGTCATATACTTTGCCAACAGGAAAACATTAACTTATTCTCATTTTAGACAATTTTACTGTCCCTAGACCACAAACACAGCGCAATTCTTTCGAATGAATTTGAAACATATCCATGCCACTTCTATATCAGACTTATCGGACTGTTTATTGAGCAAAAAACAATCATTAATTTCTGGCTATTAATTAGTGTTTAACTGAAGATGCTTAGCTACTTTATGAAACGTACAGTAAATTAAACAATAAAAGCATGATTAAAAGATGTATATTTAGTACATTGTAAAACGCATCACAAAGGTGGCAGGGTATTCTATCATTGGACGTGGATCGTGACAGTTTACGGAAGTAAAACCATATACAAAAACGGAAATAAATTATACATCGGGTCAGGCAAAAAGAAATCTAACGCCTTGACACACGACCGGCTGATCTTGAACGACGACGTCGACTCTTGGATGTTGAATGAGAACGTGATCGACGTCTTCTTCCATAACGTTTCTTGCTCCGATTGTATAACTTACGACAAAGTTCTCTGGAAATAGGCTTCAAATGCATGAAGTTGCAGAAACCACCCCTTGTACATTCTCTGGAAGAGAGACGAAAACATACAATCTTGTGATTAGTGACTTGACCTAGTAAGTCAGTCAGATGCAACGTAGAACTTCGTACGTAAGTACATCAGTTCATGTCGCCATACCTAGTACACTAGGTGTTCGACAGAATATACAATCCAAGTACAAACCTCGATAAAAAAGGTCATAATTTAGAAAATACTGATTTCCAGCCAGATTAACTACTATAATAAAATTATCTAAGCCTCTACATAATTTATGACTTTTCAAATGAAATTACTATCACGTTCTTGAGACGTGTGTCAACTAGTTATAATCATCATGAAAACCAGCACAATTGTACTACTCGAAGTTATTATACGACAACAGCTCAATGGAATAACAAAGAAAACAAAAAACAATACAGGACGCCTGCTTAACTTACTAGTTTTATTGATGCACAAACATGTAACAATTAGTTGCATTTCAGTATGGATTTGAATCATCCATCTGGTTACATAAATTTTAATTAGCTGGTAACAAACTCTCGATATACTGAACATGTCTATTAAATAGTAACTATTAACTTTAGTCGTAAATATAACCTGGTATACGTATTAGCTACTTACTGCTAACTTACATGTAACGAGAATCGTAAGGATCAAAAACTGCTTAAATAATAAGAAAATTAATTTCTACTCCAATAAGAATATAAATTATACCATCCTATAAGAATCAACTAAACCTGACCTTCTTAGCTGAGTTCAATGAAACAACAGTAAGTCAAAAACGACTACTGCCTGTGAATTTCATGAAAAGCATAAGTGTTACATACTACATCAATAAGATGTATTGGATGTCATTAATGATGAAAGGATCCATACCAGTCACCCGCAACGTAGAACCTGACACATATCAGTATGAGTACAATAAGAATTCATGGCAAATTTATGATAGCATGAAATCACAACAAATAAACATCCCAGTTACACTAAAGATTAAGTGACTATTAGCAGTACTGTATAACATATTGACAAAATTACACCAAAAATTTACCCTAGTTCATACTGACGACAACATGCTTCACGAAAATCTGTGACAGGAGAAAGTTCAGCATGAACTGGTCTTCCACCAAACCAACGTTCGTTCAAATCTTGAACAGCTTTTTCAGCATCTTCTTCACGTCTGAACTATAAACATTTATGAAGTATCATACTGAACTTACTTTTATATAAACGTTTCCGACTAAATGGTCACCAAGATTATCACACACATTCATTTCCTCTATCTCCCCATACTAAGAGATAAAAGTATCATGCAAAAATTTACCTTCTCCTCACATTCAACAAAGACCTCCTCGAAAAATTCGTCGAAGATTTGTTGAGCTTGGACTTCTGTAAGGTTAACTTTTAGGAAATAAGAAATCGTTCTCACATATAAGTCAAGAAGCGTTGACGTCTAACTTGTGAAACTTAAAGCATAAATAAAACCAGTGACTATCATGGTCATACCGACTACTGTAAGCAAATGTTATCAAGACATTTAAATGTCGTTATGGTTGCAGACAGTTTAGCCAATGAATCTAAGCACCACTAAGCCCCAGTTAACTAGTTGGGCAGAGAGAACTTAGAAACAAGTTGCATTAGAAAAACCAAACTTACATAAATGTATCCAGCGACTTGTAATCAACCTGATCGAAAGTCACCATGTCTAAATGTCAGCTATCAAAATGTATGGCTCCTATGATTTGCTTACATGCTTTAAAGATTATTTGAATGCCATGCCCACTATTAATGGTTAAATATTGGTGTTCATTCATTATTAGACACTTCGATAATAGATGCTTTCGAAGCATCGCTCGTATACTTCGGAGCAGACGAGTAAGCAATGCTGTCTTCAGGAAATGAGTACTAGGTAGGGATGGAAGATCAACAGTGAAACTCCATCAGTTGTGGTGGTCAGGGCATGTGTTATCAATGCCAAACTACCAACTGCCTCGACGAGCTTTGTTTTGTGGTGTAGGAGTAGGTTAAGAGAAAGTTAGGTGCGGCCAAACCAAAACATGGCACAAATCCATGAAGTCACAAACAAGTGGACTGAGTCATGTCGGTAGATGCAGACTACATGATTGAAGTCCGCGAGACGATAGTAACCGATGACTAGAGACCTTGAACGACGTGACTCAAAATCGTTTGCGATGGAGCAGGTGCATTCATTCATTGTGTTCTCTGAAATCCTAACCTTCTGAATCCCTCGTCATCTCTATCTTTCTCTTTCTAAAGTTATCTCACTGAATTATACTTCTTGAATAATATCCTCGAACCCTAATTTTCTACTATCTCTACCACTGGGATTAGAACTGACAGTTGCGTCTGTGCTAACGCGGTATGGCAACCTGGACTGATGTACGCATGTGCGAAGTTCTACGTTGTGACTGACTGGCTATTAGATACTGACAATTGGAAAACTTCCGTCATACAGTAATAACTGTTGTGTTCATTACGAATACCTTGTCAAAAACTAAATCTTATTTCTAAATAGTCACTGGCATTTACTGTGCGTCCAAATTATTAGAGATTGGATGCCCTTATGATCGATTTCGAAGAACTTGAAATTAACCGGTTGGATTATAGTGGCTGTAGTGTATGTACTTAATCAACCCAGTGAAATAAATTTAAAAAGAGAAAAGAGGTCATGAGAGAAAAAGAACGGTTGCAAACGATAGCGAGTGATGTCATTTAAAGTCTCTAATCACTGATTACGACTACTATTCATGAACATTTTATCCTAATACAGAAACGCGCGTAGCTTCACCATGGTTCTCTGGATCAATAATATGAGTGACTGTGATATTTACATGTTGGGTGACCAAGTGTACCATAGCTATTAGTATAGTGTAAGATCTAGACGTATCGAAGGTGATAGGTCATCATATGTGTGTTTAGGGGATGACAACCCAACCCCCGTGTTTATACTTTGAATTATTAGACGTTTTGTAGATTAGATATAGACCACACTTTTGTTACTCATATGAACTAAAATGAACCGGCTCAGCCAAGACGAGGAAAAACACGGCTAGGACACTGTCTTTGGTCGATACACGAGAGAAGTGATATATTTTATTTTAATATGTTTTTGTGTTAAGATCATGTTCACAGAAAGTTAACCGTATAAGGCAACTGGAACCGATGAAGTATCTTTATAGGTACTCAGCCAACTCCATTGACAAGTAGTTTGTAGAAACTTCATCACTCTCGAAAGCTAGCAAACTTTCCAGGTTCCGTATGTACTGAAGGACTTAATTTATGGGTATGCTTTAGGCTAAACATAAATCCTTCTAGAGATTTTATTTTAAAAATAGCGGACTAGATACAACGAGCTGACCACCAGAACTTGATCTCAACAATCATGTATAATTACTGACTAGACACCTACACGACCATCTGCAAGTTAGAACACCACAGCACAAACAGATTTTTAGTGAAACACAAGTGTACTTACAGACATTCCTGATAAATGATGAACGCTGGCCTACTTGTTCTTATCGGTCATTCCCCACTGACGTTAAAGTTGATGAAACGTTGATAACGATCCAAAAGTGTACCTAAAATTCGTCATGTTTTCATCTCCCTGATTTATTACCCATCTGTTTATACTAAGTCTAAATGCTAGTGCAGAAAAATGTTTAGCGAAAGACATACCTAAATATCACACTAGTCATGTGCCTAAATATAATCAGCTTTTGGAAAAACATATAACTAAAAAATATGTAGCTTACTGTGAGACCCATCAGCACTTTGCGCTGTATTCTGAGGAGCTATATACAGGTTTTGCAGCAAAATAGTCTATACATAAAACAGTTGAAAGCGAATCGTACCTGACCAAACGACGGTTTGTTATGAAGTCTCGAACATTGTTCTCCATGACGGCATGCGCCGATTTTGAAGTAGAAAGAGCAGTTTACTCTATATTGATAATAAACTCAAAAAGCGATTCCTACTTATCCTTTTCCGTACCAAATATCGATGCTAAATACTCCGCCATGTTCTTGCGGCTTAAATTGCGCCCAATTCGTGAACGGAGTAAAACAATAAACCCACGAGATAAGCACTACAAACAGCAGTATTGTTAACTTAAAGGGAGATCTATTTAATTACCGATATGAATATTTTTTATTGCGTTTTTAAAAAGCTTTGTTTCTAATTGTTTTTCTATCAAAATCTTTGTGACAAGCCTGTAAGAACGGATAAACTTCCTTGACTTTGCCTCATGTTGTTTCGCTCAGGCAACGGATTTGGGAACATTTGAACTGGTAGCAGTCTAATCATTCAACTGAACTAATTTGTAAGCATTCTGTTTGTTATTCATTGGTTTATATATCCCACAATCTGAGTGAGAACGTTTATCTGATGATAATAGAGCTAGAGAAATTATAAGCCATCTGGGTGGCAGACATTTTGTTGGTCAGCTTCAAGAGTAAAAATAAGGAGAACAGTCTAACGCTAAACTAATACTGGTGCTCCAAAGAGTGAATATATTATTGAGTTAACCGACTAGTAGTGCAGACAGTTTGAGTAGAACAAATTGTAATGATGGAAAAGACCGGGGGTGAGAATAAGTGAAAGAGGAATAAGTTAATAATATGTGGTTATGACAATGTTGTATAAGTTACAAGATTTGCGTCAATTACAGCTAGTTCACTGTAAACTAGATACATATTTATCCACTTTTCTTTTTAGGCTAGGTGTCCATTGGGAGTGCTGAAACAGCACCAAAAATGAGGATCACTACTATTAAGCAAACGTAAACACCCGTGCAAGATTCCTCGCTTTGATGTGCGATTTCAAGAATGGTGATGCTGTTTTGGTGTTCGGTGATTTGGTTTTTCCTTAGGGTGTTGTTCTATTATCACATGAGTTCTTATTCCGTTTGCAAGATTTGTCTCTAAGCCCTGCAATCCACTTATTTGCCCGTCTTTGTGCTTGGTCGGAAGGAAGTATATCTCTTCGGTGAAGAAAGTCACAATGTTTTAAACGAGGTAACTACAAGAATTATGAAGGATTTCAAAATTATTTGTGATCTTGAAGATGAGTATACATCAGTTGAGTGGCTTCCATTTTTTTCCTTGTAGTGTTGAAATAACGATGCTGATATTCTGGACCAAGTAACGATATGAGACTGAGCATCTGAGTCAGACATGATGATAGCTCATTTCTTTGGGAAAGTTTTTCAGCGGATGTTCACAATACCTCTAAACTTAATATTGATCAGGTGAAATCTCACGGTTTTTCATCCATATCGTTGTTAATAATCCACCACATACATAAGACACCCAAATTATAAATTTGTTTGCCACCTTACGAGAATCACCTTCCACTACTTCCACGAACATCAAATCCACCAGCCACCGTGGTTTTTAATGTCTTCATAATCAATGACCTGGTATGCCGAATAACGTTATTTAAATACCACGTTTCAGGAGGATTGGTGTTGCTGAAATCAAATTGTAACAAACTTCGGATTGAAAGTTATTGTCCGACGTTTGTCTCGTTATCCCTTATGTAATAAATTCAATAAAGATGTTCAGTTGGAGATCGACGCCACACTTCCACAAAGCATTGTGGACATAAGACATTCATATCTTTCGTTTACAGTTTGGGGTTGTGGAGTATGCTGAACGATTTCAAGTTTGTTTACTTGCGTCTTAAACACAGTAACGTTTTTTGCCCTTAGAAAACTCCAGTATATGATTAACAGAGTGTCAAATGCCTCTTCTGTCAAAAATTCGTATCTGATGTCTGTGAACCAACGGAGACATGAAGAGAAGACAATGACCATTGGGGTATATCCAACAGTCAGAAATGGTCTGTGAATCCCATCGTTGTTTGTTGGGTTGTGCCTGTGTTGGAAGAATCAGGCATTGGGTCAGGAATCGATACGGCTATTTTCAGGGCAGTTTTGTGCATCTGTTCATGTTTCTATCCGTGACAGGGGACAAATCTGCAAGAGAAGAAAATATAACACAGCTGTTAATAAAACGAAGGCAAAGAAACATATGATGAACCGGAACCGCCAGTCAAGAACAAAGAAGACGAAGCTATCACTGACAGCCAGAAGCAGAGAAACAGGTGGTTAGAGCACTATGAAGAACTCTTGAGCAGACCAGTCTCACTAAACTCACGCAACTTTGGGGCAGCAAACACAGAGCTTCCTGTGGATGTTTCACCACCAACAATCGGCAGCCATCAGATAAGTCTAGACTTGTGCATCAACGATACC